GGGCGACAGTGGCTCGTTTAACTACTCTTATATAGTTATATATGCTATCGTATATACAGAGTACACGTATTATAACAATCACAACAACATCCGTGCAGTAATTAGTAATTTGAACCTTAATGCGCATACTTATTATAATATATAATGTACCTATAATCTATATATATAACAATATATGCAACACACAGTGGCTTGTTATCGGTTACTTCATAGGATATGTTTTTTTTTTTTTTATTTAATCGAAGTCATTGTATCCCAAGGAAAACTGTAGGCAAGTATAATAATAATAATAATATATTATTATATAGGTGTACGTACAATACTAATCATATAGATGTATAAGTAGGTACAGGTTCTCTTCATATAGGTACACGGACTATTAGAAACAGTCATTGCGCGTGAAGAAAATATTGGGATGACGAAAGAAATACCCAACGCTGCAAAAATTTTGGATAAATAACATTAGGTATAAGGTATAAGTATAGTGTATAATCAACGCGTTTTGAAATGGACGTTTATTAGAACTTATAAGTATACATATTAAAAACCTCGCTAAGTGTATAGTTATAACGTGTCTCTCATAGATAATAAAGTATAGTTCTTGTTCTCTATTGTACACGGTAAATGGACAATTTCTGAATTAGCAATAATTATCGGTGAAACAGATTAAATTATTAATATTTTTTTTATAATTTCTTATTTGGTGTGCTACAGTTTAACAAAATAAAAGAACAAATTTCCAAACAATTCTACAAATATATTTATTTTCATGTACATTTTATGATCGAATGATCGTGGTTTCTTAAACACAACAAAGAGTATAGGTACTCTATTAATAATAATAATAATAAATAATAAGTACTTTTTAAAACGCCAAGAAGTCAAAATATAACTATAAAGAAGGATAATAGAATGACTAAAAGATTTTGTAAATAAAATTTAAATAATTAATAATCAATAAAAATAAAATCCTATGTACAGATTTCCTACACAAAAATACTAGGAATAATTTACAAAAAGTCTTTGGTTTGATATCATATTATTTTTTTGTTATCTTTAAACATATTACGTTTTAGTTTAAAATAATATTCGTTTTAGACATTGTGTAAGAAGGTATACTTATAATTATTTTATTTTTATAATATTACTTGTAAGGGGCAGGGGAAATTGTCTTATAGGTACATTAGTATACACACCACAACCGTACGAGCGTTCTCTAGAATATATTATACAGCATTCGGTCTCTCGTTCAAACAACCCATTCCCAAGAATGGGTTGAAGAAGAACAAATTACATTATAACAATGTTCTTTCGGTATATTGTAATATACATACATATGTGTGTGTGTGTGTGTGTGTGTGTGTGTGTGTGTGTGTGTGTGTGTATAAAACACTATATAGCGTATTAAACACCAACGAACGACAACTTTATGAGCAGTGCTCACTGCATCATTATGTTAACTTAACAACGCGTTATTATATATATTATAATTATATACAGTTATTATTATTGGACATTAATTATATGTACGCGATTATTACAATATTATTGTCGCTGCTGTAATTTATTTTTGAGTATCTAAAATACATATTATTTATGTGTTTGTGTCTGTAATATATATTATTATTATACATATTTAAGTGACTATATACAATAACCAACCACAGACAGGGTGTGTCGTGACTATATATACACGGTAGTGAGTTAAGTACCTATATATATGTACATTAAGCATATACACGCCGTGTTGTATGCACACACACAAAAAACGGAAACACGATTTGTTTACTACACACTACACACAATTGTTTATAAACAACCATGTTTTTTGTAGTTGTTTGGTTTGTACTTATATGCAACTATATAATAATATACGGGAGACTGTATTGATACACTATATTGTATAAACGAGAAAAATAATCCTACTAGCATGTGAAACAACAAATCCTCTTTAAATCTGTACCATCAAATTCAGCAATAATAATATCTTATAACTTATAAATTTCAAACACATATACAAAAATTATGTGGTGTAACAAATCTCGTTCTTACTTAGATCATTAATACCTATAAACATATACACCTATACTATATGCTAGCAGTTCTCAAAATTGTTTGATTTACGCATCTCCAAAAATAAAAAAATTCAATCACGTCTTCCTTGAATAAATGAAACAAAATGTTTTATTAGTGTATAGTACTAAATTAGTACTAGTAATGAATGCCTATGTACAATATCAATGTTTATATCGCGCCTCCCCTATTAAGTGCTTGTGCCTTTCAAGGGAGCCACAGCTCAGTTTGGGAACCGCTGCTACATGAATTACATGTGCGTTATATTATTATGTTACGGACATCGTATAGTATATAATATATAAATGCGAATAGTGTTGGCCTCTGTAATGATAATATTTGCGTTAAGACATAATATATAATATAACCTGTGCCAATGCGGTTAATGACGACCGAACACGCTATATTATGTATAGCTTTTATATACATATTGCGGACATTATTAGGCACCTACATACATCTACATTGTACGCCTATATATTATATTATACATTCTACAGTAATATAGTATGATTCTCAGATACTATAATAGGCATTAAAGATAGATACGCTCAATAGTCTTGTGCGGATAAACGTCAAACAGGAGTTAAAATGATATACAGCGTATACACATAATCAGTATTAGTATATTATACATATTATTATATTATTTATACATTCAGTGTTCTTATAATCTTATACATATATCAATAGGAGTTGTAGTTATACTGAAAATTGTTCAAGTATTTGTTATTGCTTTTTAGGAATTTATAAATTCAACATTATTTTTAACCGTTAGCACGTATTCTACTACGTAGACATGTATACATTATTATTAAGTGTTAAATCGCATACGTCACGAGGAAGACCTATAACGGGACTCTCATAATATATTGCGCAAATGCGATGTCTAAAAAAAATGTTATACAATACTACCTTAGTAATATACAAAAGGCGCTGCAGGAAGAGTCAAAAATAAAATATATATACATTTATTTGGGTATACAGGACACCCACTGTGATATACGAATGTTAGGACAAAAGTTTTATGGTGACCAAATTTTTTTTTCTCAAACGGGATCCGAAAAGCATTATAATAATACAATAATAATGATCCGCGTGTGCGCGTTGCATCATAACATTCAATAATAATAATATAACGTAGGTACACCCCGGAACACCTTTTTTTCAATACGCGCACATATTACACTGTACGGCCAAGAATCGTTTATTTACCTACTACAAGAGTATCATACTATCATATTGTTATGAGTGTAGGCGCTACTACACAACATATTATGTTTATAACTTATTGTAGGACAAATTTTTATTGGGTCATGGTTTCCTTACATCCCGCCTGCTGCCGAAGCGTATATTTATACATATACATGTGCGCTATTAGCATTAATCTGTACGCCCAAAACCAGCGCCTCCCGTCGTCTTAAATAGTTCTCTATACATAATCAATAAAAGTATATTTAGGTAGTACCGATATTTGTTATTATTTCGGTTATTATAGAATTCATATTATTCATCGAATATAACCGTACAACCTATGCAGAATTTCGACCGGCCGTGCTGTACGCGTACACTCCAGGGGGTTTCAAAACCCTATTCACATTAACTATAAAATAATATTTAAACGAATGGGGTTTTATATCTTGTCAAAGCGAAATTTACCAGAAATTCGATTTGTAAAATAATAATCTCCCATATAGAACCATAGTATTATACGAGGTATTATATTTGTTTATAGAAATAGCACATGTTGAATTGTTTTGTGCATATAATAGGAATCTACCTACCTATTATATTATATTGCGCAACTTGGTCATTTTTTCACCATAACATCAATACACTGGAATTTAGGAGGAAAAAAACAAATAAATATAACAGTACCCTTACCTTTTTTTTTTCTTCACGAATATTATTCGAATACGAATAGATATAAAATTATAAACGTTCAGTATTGGTAAAGTTGTGCGGTAGGGATGATTTATAATATACTATACAACGACTAAAATATCGACGTGTGGTCACATAAAATACGCAAATATGTTTTGTTTATTTAAATAAAACTCATTATTTAATCCAAAGATCCAATAATAAAGGTTCACCTACAAAAAGGCGGACATTGCGGCGCAAAAATATCCGTGACGTACTTAGTACACGAGCATATACGATTGAGGCGGGAAAAAAATTATGACTTACTACAAGTGAATACGCCGCACGTGTTATTATAGTATTCTGTAGTACCTATATAGATAACAATAAAATTGTCTATGGGTGTACAATGTATGTATATTTATAATATATATAAATATATGCGTTTGTTTCGTAAAAATGAAATAACTATACAATTAATATAATGTATTTTGAGATATAATATATATGTTCTATGTATATAATAATACAACGGCATAATGTACTTTATATTCCGTAAAGATACTTAGACGTGTAATAATACGTACTTGCTATATCATATATAGAATGAGATTTCATAAATTAAATATATATATTTGAATGTTAAACACTATTTTTATATTAAGAAATATCCAAATAATTGTAATTTTAACGAACTTACAATAGAAATAAACGCATGTAGAGATTATAAAATTGGTGTGATATAAAAAATAGATTATTTATGCTATATAGCAGTATTACAGCCCATTATTTATTAATACCTAAGCATATATATAAAGTTATATTTAAATAATAATTATATAACGTGATAATAATACTTAAATACACCTACCTATATATTTTACAAATATGCCTATCTAACAGTGTTTTTCGAACATCATGTGATAAAAGAATCAAAGGTTTAGATTTTTGATTAGGCATTGAAAAGTTCGTAATTTTTACGCACTACATTACACAAGTTTTGAACAATAATTTATAATATTTATGAAATATATATATAGGTATATAATATAAACTGCACTTACCGCCGGGAAACCTGTGCGGAAATATCCTTCCGTGCCGGGACAACAGCCACGGGTACAGGGGATACGTGTCCCGGGTAGGCTGGTGTTGCGGGTGGTGCGGATTCGGCTGAAAGTGGTGCGCCGCTGCGGCGGCGGCTGCGGCTGCGGCAAACGCGAACGGATGATGAGGATGGGGGTGGGCGGGCGGCGGCGTCAAAGGTTCGTGCACGTACTGCAACCCTTTGGCCAAGTGTCCGGCGGCTGCGGCGGCGGCTGCTGCGGCGGCCACGGACGATGATCCGTAACCGGCGGCAGCTGGCAGCGCGGACGGCTTGAACACGGTCGTGCCGCCGGTGCCGCTTGCCGCGGAAGTCTGCTGCTGTTCGTGTTGCTGTTGCTGCTGCTGGTGTTGGTGCACGTGATGGGACTGTTGATGTTGGTGTTGCTGATGCTGCTGCTGGTGATGGTGATGGTGGTGATGCGACGACGGCGGCGGCGGCGATACGCTTCCCGGGTTCAGCGGCGAACCGGCGGCCGAACTGCACGCCTCGCTCTCGTCGTGCGCTACCGACGAACCTTCGCTCCTGGCCGGCGACCGGGAACCCGCGCCCACTATGGACTCGATGGAGAATCCGATTTTCGGTTTGACGATCATCGGCGTCGCGGCCACTTGTATCATTTTAATCGACGCGGAAACAGTCGTTCGTATTTAATATGTTTGACAGGTATGTTTATACGAACTGCGACGTATGATTGGTGTGCTTAACAAACGAAACTGTCATTTAAATGGAAAAATCGTAAGACGCGGAAATACGATCACTCGCGCGCCAACGACGTACCAAAAGCGGCTGTTGTCCGCTGCATTCGAGCGGGTCGTCTTGTAGGTATACGCGCACTGCACTTCGGACGCACACGGCTGCAGTACTAAGCGCGGCGAATGAAATGCGACAATAACAGTACAGACGGGTTATAAAACAACGATCTGCAGAAACGACGACTGTAGACGACGGTACGGGCGCATGTAACGGACGGACGACGACGATAGACTGCTGTCGGCGGTGGTCCAGGCCTGTGCGCGGTCGACGCGGCGGCGGCGGCGACCGTTGCGGCGGTGGTAGGCGAAGGTGGACGGGACGGGCGAGCGGGACCGGTGGAGAGGGAAGAGCGGCGCGCTCGGTGGGCGTGACCGACGGCGATCGCGGTTGGGCGGCGAGACCGGCCCGGGAAACGAGACGGCCCATTGGCCGGCCGCTTGCGGCCCGCCGGCGCGCGCCGTGTTTACTTTTAGACCGTCGCCGTCGTTAACGCCATAACAAACATGTGTATTTAAGGTGTTAACTGTATACCATACACTGCACTATGGTTTAATATGTAAAACTGGTTTCGATTATTGCGTTAACTTACCCGTATAATATATATATATATATATATATATGTAGGTATATACACATTTACCTATCTTTACAAATATAATATATAATATGCGTGCTCACCACCGTACTTGTGCTGTCGCCACTTCACTCCTCTGCGTCGCGTACGCTAACCCTCTCCATGTATGATAGGTACTATATAATTCGGTATGGGTGTACATTATGCGCCTTCCCCTCGCGTGCGTCCGCAAATGACGCGGATATATAGATGAAAAACGTCGGGCTGTAATTTTTTATAAAGTATATTATATTATATTGTGACATAGGTTAGTGTATATAGTTATAAGTATATATAGATATAGGTACGTCGTACGTGGTACCTACTTGTGTATAATGTCACACGACTGTTGTTATATAGCTGTATTTAAGTAAAAGTAAGCATATAACTTATAAAGTACGGACTCTGATGCACGCAGCGGCGGCACAACATAGATAGGTATAGGTACTTCGTGCGGGATTAAATAAATTATTATGCATATATATATATATATCGGTACATTTTATTTTATAAGTATCTAAGTAAAATATAAGTTTTATAAGTACATTATAGGTACACAATTTGCTCCACTACATCATCATTTTTTTCTCAAAAGTATATGAATATATAGGTATATTGGTTTATATAGGTACTTGGTTATATATGCAAGGCACTGCAACGATATAAGTATATAATATATAATGTATTGAATATAGTATATACTACACCCATCATCGCTTATGCGTTAAATGGTACAAATATGTAGTTTATGCTTTATATACTGAAGGATGAAATAATAATTGCACGAATTACCTGCTTAATGCATTTAGGTATATATCGCTTAAGGTACTATAAATATATTTCTATCTTTATTATAGGTACTCTATTTAATATTGTTTAATATTTCCACTATAATAACTCTCTTCAATACGCATCAGCTGTTCTTATTATATCTTAAATTATATTTACCTATACCAATAATTACATAATTTAGATTTTTTAAATCAAATTCGTGTATGTAAATGTAATATCAATATCTTGATGGTTGGCATTCCAAGGATTGATAAATTTGTTTGGATATGTAGAATTACTTATAAATGTATTTTATTCCTCTACAATTATTGTAATCGCGTTCACAATGTATAATATATTATTATAATGTTGATCTATCCCATAATCGTGTTATCAAATAATATCAATAATAATAATATATCACATACATATATTATTATATGCGTATGGTCATGGGCATATGCATACCTATTTATTTATTTTTAAAGTTTTAATAATTATTAAGAGTATAATTTATTTAACCTATATAGATATTAGAAGCTACCTATAAAATATAATTATCATAATTATATACAATCTGGCTACAGGTTATATAGGTACCTTAACCATCATAGAAATTTAAAATAAACCTAAAAATGTTTTAATCTTCTGCAATAATAAAAATAAAAGGGGGTAATGGGTATAGCGTAGTCAAGTATATAATATGTGATCTATTTAAAAATTATAATCATGGTTCGTTGACCGATATAACTGACGACTATAATATTATCGATAAGTATTAAAAATATATAGGGTCTAACTTGATTATTACATAAAATACCAGCTATTATCGTAGCGATAATCCATTTGGGTAAGTGCAATTATTTGGGAGTCGAACGTTTCAACATGTTTAAATGTATAGATATATATACTGTATATTATTAGATTATGATGAGCGCGATTATAGAATATTCAAATTAATATTCATGACCTTTTATTTAAACTATTCGTTTATATTGTTTATCAATTTATATTGTATAATTTGTTATATACCTAGATACATAGCGGATTACCCGGACTATTATAGGTAGATCATATTTTGAATTAGCGCCAAATAATTAATAATCCAAATAGTTAATTTATACAATATCCACTCAACACTATAGGTATAGTTATTTAAATAAATGGTTATAAAAAATATAAAATCAAATAACAAATATTATGAATACGAGTAAATGAAAAAAAAAATCTAATTCACCAACAAAATAATGTCTGTATTATATATTTACTTGAGACAGAAGTCAGAAACATTTTCATTTTGTCTTATTGGGTGTCTACTAATATATATTCAATTAATTTTTATCCAGTTTATGTGTAGGTACATATAACATAGATATAATTGTTTTAAAACAAATGCGCACCTATTGAAATAGCTGCAGTTAGTAAAAATATTAAACTCTCAAGTCTCAACCAATAAATTTATTTATACAGAATAATTCATCAAGCATGCTCCATTTTTCATATTCACTAATAATAAAGTTATTCAAAATCTAAATTAACGATATTTACAATGGGACATGAGTTAACATTGTTAGCACTTTATAGAGACGTAAATTTTTATCCAAAAAAGCTCTTAAAGTCATAGCAAAAAATAAAGAAAAATTTATAAAATTTCGTAAAATTATTCATAAAAACAAAACAAAATAATTTAAATTTGTAAAGTGTAATGCATATTGGGTTGTAATAATATGGGGGTATGGAAACATAGCTCATTTTCAATTAATTTGTATATCCTTATCCTTCCTCCAATCATCATGAGAACACTAATGGCGTTATAATTTGAAGAACAAAAGTTTGTATCTCACGATAGATATACCTACTCCTATATTAATTAGTACAAAAGTCATAAGAATTCAAATAAATTCATTGTTAGATGGAAAAATAAGCAAGAGCATATATTTTTGGTGAATCATACTGTATATATATATATATAGTATATATTTATGTATAGGTACAATACATTGTTGATTAATTCAATAATATCATTCACACAAATAACACGATTATATACCTATATTATATATGTGTTCAATAAAGTGTTAATTGATTTAAAATTAAAATATTTTACCTACTAACGTATAATCATTGTCAATCTTATAAAATGTTTTATATATATTAATATGACTGTATCTATCTGTAATATGATGACTTAAAAATAAATAATTAATAAGCTTTAAATAAATATGAAGAAAAAAACAAAAAATAATAATACAAAGGTATATACAATTTAATTTATACTATTGATTCTAATAGTTATATTATACTGCAAATACAATATTTATTAATCTACTCGTATTATAGTTATATTTAATCTTAATTAATACCTATTATATTGAGTATTATGAAATATATTCATTCGAGAGTTCAAAACGCTATAACTAGCTATGTAAATTATATACGAGTCTATATATGTAAAACTACATCATATAATACCATAATTTCTATATAAATACGCATTGTATTTCTACATCACTATTATACTATGTGATTGTTACTAATTTCAAATATCAGTGTCCTATTAAGATTAGTTTTTAATGATTTAATACTATTTCAGTATAATTAATTTTTTATAATTATTATAATCATTGTATTATTGTGTTATAAATCTCAAGAATGAGTTTTAATATCAATTATAAACTAATACGTTTTTGGTTTAGGTATTATTATAGTAATTATTGTAAAATTATTAGTTAAATGTGATTATATTTCTATAATTGAAGTTTTAGATAACTTCTAATGAGTGTATTATTTTGTCTTTTAATAAATTAATGATTAAAATTTGAATTTAGAACCAGTTAATTATTTAAAGAAAAAATAAGTATGTAAAATTTAAATGAGTAAACTTACATTATACGGCAAATAGTATCCTATCTTTATAGCTATTTAATTAAATACATTTACTTTTTACTGTACAAGATGATCTATCCAAGCACTTAATTATATCTATGTACGATTATTTTCAAATCAAAGAAGTATGTCCACATTCAGAAACTTAAAAAAAAAAATAACGATAAAAATAGTTGTTTTGTAAACAATAAACTCATGACTTTATAACTTAAGTTGTGTAAAAAATGTTTTTAAAAACAAAATTACTTAAAGTGTTTACAGTTTGAAGAACTTTCCCCCTGCGAATTATATCTATATAATAGAGATGAAAAAGTTATTAATTCACTTACTGACTACTGTTATAATACTTAAACTTTATTTCGCTATTATATATATTATATCAATATTAATATTAAAATATTTATACTAATTATTATTGATATTTTAGATCAATATAGTAGATACAACAATTATTTATATCTCATGTATGTGCTTAATGATTTGAAAATAATATACAAGAATATTGTACCTTTAAAATAACAAATTCAACCGGAAACTGTTACTTATTGTTATTCTATTAACTTATAAATATATATATATATATGGAAAGGTAAGTAAAATATCTATGTGCATACAAAATTTAAATAAATTAACATATATAGTTTGTAGTAAGCGATATTATCTTAATTCTCTCGACGCCTACTCTTATATTCTCTGCGTGTAAATGCGCACAGAAAAGATAATAAACCACAATATTACAATATTTAATTCATAGCGACATCGAGAACAACTCATTTACGACGGTATTTTGTTACGTCTACCAAAAGGATTGAACTTATAAATATACAATGTGGTTTAAACAGAATTTAAGTACCTTATTGCTGCTTTCTTTGCAAGAAAAAGAAATAATATGGAAATTTATAATGTGACATAATTTTTATTTTTTATACCATATTATAATAAATTCTTTGACACTCATCGTTAGATTATAGAACAGACTTTTAAATTTTAATTAGGTATTTTATATGATTAAACTATTATTATTTTTTATTATTATTACTATATAACATAAGCCTCGGCATCTAGGCCATTGACAGATAACTACACTATTAGATACTCATATTGTCATATATATATATATATAATATATATATTAATTATGATATTGCGTTATCGCAAATGCATTGCATCAGTATTTATACATATTTTAAACATATAATTATAATATAGTATCTCAAAAACGTATAATAACTTTTGAGTAAATTGAATTTTAATATTTTCAGCATATGATAAAACATATATTAATAAATCAAAAAGTATTTAATAAAAAAAATTTGAAATTTGGTACCTTATTATTATTATTTATAAAAAGTGCGTTGCTTATTACTCTGTTAAAATATAATTAACAATTTTTTTCGTGATATTTTTATTTTTTTTTATTTTTTATTTACTGTTACTACCTATATATACACTAATGATTTTAAATGATCGTCATAAAACCTATTTTAGGAAATAACTACAAATTTTAATTAACAATAATATATTTATATATTAATAATTGCAAATAGTTCTTTTTAGGAATTATTAATTTAATATACCAAATGCGAGAAGCGAAAGATTCAAACCGTAGTCCGATGAAACCGCAAAAATAGAACCTTCAACTATATTAATTAAAAACACTCCCATGAACCCGATACCAAACACTGTTGAAGTTAAGTCTCCTAAGGCTAGTAGTAATTAATGTAATACTTTAATAATAATAATTATCATTTTTAAGTTATACGTTTAATATTGCAATCGATACACTACACTTGTAAAGCAAAAAAAAAAAAATATATCACATACCTAATTGGTAAAACATTTTGTACTTTTACCAACACTAATTATCTATCCTAAGATATTTAACTGATATCTGTAATTTTACCGTAATATAATAACACAACAAGAAAACTATGGCGGATAATGTCAAATTTATAGATGACCTTCGTAAATAAATAATGTGATTTTGGAAAACAGATTGATGGCTTTAGCTGGATAAATAATTGTTTCATATGATATTAGGCTTTATTGTGTAATATAATTTTAATTACAAAATTGAAAATAATATATCTTCATTAACCAATTTTCTGCAGCAGAAATAAGGATACGCGTCAAAGAACAAAATCTGACTAAGGATTTATAATAGTATAAAACAAACTATGTTTTATCAGCGACAATATAGGTACCGTACATATAAAACCTGCAAATAGTATTAAGTAATATTTTTGTGAATTGATTTAAATTGATTAAATACTAACAATGCTTCCTAACAAACCGATCTCAACCCTTATACGTAAGCTAAAGACGGATGAATTTCAAGTAACTGGATTACTGCAAAAATTGAAAGAAAATATGAATAAATTGTTGGACAATGCGAATAGTCGTTTTTGGAAACGAAAGCGGACTCATTTCAAATATTATATCAAACGTAAGAAATGATTAAAAACTCTTTATATATATACCTATTGAGTTAAGCTTAAGTAAAAATGTGTTAAATTTGAAAATCCAATTGATTTCCTTAGAAATTATTATGTTATATACTTATATATAATATATAATAATCTAATTTTTAATTATTAATTACTAATTATACATTATTTTTCATCAAAAACACATATTTTTTATTTGCCATGCGTTTTTTTGTTTATTTAGAAAGTAGAAAAGTTTAAATTGTAATGTATTTGTACATACAGCGTTCACATTTAAAGGACTATATGTCTATATGAAAATGTAATTGTTAATAATAAATAATAAACGACTTGACATTTCAATTATAATTTCAACAGTACAAATAAATATAATAATTATAATTATTTGTGTTCACAAAATAACATTAAATGCTAATAATGCATAATAGGTATGATTGTAAAGTATTAGACATTCGTTATGGGTATACAGTTCATTTATTTTGCAGCTATATATATATATATATAAATATCTATATAGAATGCACAGTTTAATTTTTAAAGCAATGGATTATTTATACAATTTGGAAGTTGTAGTTATTAATATTAGCAGTAAAATTGCAATATGAACCCGCGCGTAGTCGTATCTTAATAAAATTCATTTTATTTGTGCGTGCATATAAATATATATTTATCAAAAAATTATTAACTATTTTCATTATAACAAGGTTCAAGTGATTTTAATGAAATACTAATTTATATATACTATATTTATACCAATCTATTAATAAATAATTAATAAGTTATCGGAAATCTTAGAATCAATTAGAAATAAAGAAAAACTAGAAAATAAACGTAAAAACAAAATTGTCAAGTACACTTCAAAACAAAATATCAAATTCAATTCAATAATAGAAGACGCATATTACAACAATCTCAACGATAGAAAGTACACAACTTTATACAATCAAAAATTTCTCCTGTATCTAATGGATCATCAAATTCCACAAAACTAAACTCTGAGCTAACAAATTCAAATTCAAATTAAAAAAAAAACTTATTAAATTATATTATAGTATCACTTTTTGAAGAAATACTTTATTATATAAAATAAAAGCAATATTTTTCAAGTCAGAAATGTATTTAAGAATCACAATCATTCACGAAAATTTTAAAATTAAATAAAAATCATTACATACCTTCTCTAAAATATTATTCCATTTGCATAACGGAAACCACAACATATTTCAAAAATAGTATAAAAATATAATATTATGTAAAATATCCGGTAAATATAACTTATAAGCATAAAAATAACACTATCGTTACACATAGATACATTAAGCAAACAGAAAAGTTTAAAAAATACTTTAAATGTAAATTAATTTCTTGTATTATAGTATAAAAGAAGATAGAGGTATCTAATAATAGTAACTGTAACTAGTATTAATATAATAATATTATAATCTGTATCATCAAGTCAGGTATATGACAACAATTGAGTATCGTGAAACTATGGTTAATCAGGCAAACTTTTGCAGGTCGTAAACACACGTAAATTAGGTACTCAAATCGACAGAAAAATTAGCAATCGCGGTCTGCAGTACTGCAATAGGTATTGTAGTATTTTACGTCATTATTATGTACGTATACAAAACGGTAGATACCTGCGAGACATTATAGTTGTCAAAGGTTTAGCGTTCCAAAGCGAAACAAACGATATGAGTGGTTGATTTAGAAAAAAAATTATAATATTCTAGTAAATCGATAGATTTCCATTGACGTGAATCATTTAATTATATTCTGAGCATTTTCAAATAGAAAGATAAAAATAATAATCAAAAAATGTTCATAACATCTACGGTATGTAAACTTGTTAGGTTAAAACTTAAAACACAAAAACATCATGGGTAATTCTTCGAAATAATAAAATGTTGTTAATGAAATAAACATCAACAACGTTCAAACATACGCGTCGTCATGAATCATAATGTTATATTTATATACCTACGTTACCAAGCAATCCAGCGAGAATGGCCAATAATAAAAATGCTCACAATAGGTAAATTGTATATTAAACCAATTTCGAAAGATTAAGTGCCTATCGTACTTCGTAGTTATAAATTATAATTTGTTATACTTACATGATATAATATTTGTACGTAATTGCATTTACTCTACAGGTCTAAAATATCGTAAATTTTTTTGCACGATTCATTTTGTTATTATTGATGTTGTTTTTGGTTATTCGTACTTTAAGCACTAATATATTTGTTTGAACACAGACACAAAACATCTTCCGCGCGCTCCGGACGGATCAAAGTCTGCGACGATGCGAAGTGACAGTCTTGGCATCATAGTTATGTTCCCTCCGGGTGGTCATGCTGTAATCGCCGCCGACTTGTCGTCTCCATCCCGGTCGACCGATTTGACCGTTGTCCGTTTCGAGTTTCTGACTTGCGGCCTGGTCTTTCCGCGGTCTGTTGTCCCGTGTCCGGTACCGCCGCCGTTCCCAGTGCGCTGTTGGCGTTGTCGCGCGCACCGAGTTTTTTATGATCGCCTCAACGTCACGGTGTTTATTTTATTGCATCTTTTTTTTCTATCGTTGATCGGTACTGCTGTGACCGTTTTCGTTAAAACGGCGACATGATCATCCAAAAACCCTGTGTGCGGTCCGGGTTGGTATACGCCATATTAATAGGTACCTATCGTTATTGACTACGCAGTTTTGTGCGTGGTTACCCCATTGGACGTTTTCCAGTGCACAAGTGGTGCTTAGTGTTTACCTTTGCACGTTGCTTTTAGACCTAACCTTATCTTTGGTCACCATTCGCTTTGTTGGCACCCTGCTGCTCTGCCGTTCGAAGCTGATCAGTCAATGCTGTGGAAGTCCATCGTCTCATTGTAAGATTGTACAACAATATTATATTCGTGTTATCACTTAATGATATCCTTATTATTAGTATATATATATTTTTAATTTTTTTTATTTTATTGTCTATATGTACAATTCTATTCATTATTTTATCATTGTTATTAATATATATTATACATTTTTTTTTTTTTTTTTTGGTTGCCCGTTACTAATTACTAATAACCCGTTACAATAATAAAAATTATACAGACTCCTTAGACTAGATCTCCCACTACTCCTTTAACCGAGGATATTGGACAGGATGACGGTGATACAAGAACCGAAATAATATATGATGATATAGAGCACAAACGGTGCCCTGCGGTATTTTACACTTGTGTGTTCTCCGGCCGCTTATCGCCGTGAGCGGTTCGACAGGAGCCTGATGACTGCTCTGGTCACGTTGAGCGATAGCGGACGATGACTACGGTAGTGGTGGTGAAGACTTTAGCATGGATTTAGTAACGATATAAAGGACAGAAACACGGATGTCAGCTGCGCTGGATCCGCGGAAACTCAACGTTTCAGGGTCCGACAACGCGCGACTCTGGCTGCTACCGGATGTAGACGAGGTGAACTGCGAAATCCTCGAGGAAAGCATATCAGGACTGCGGCGTGATGACTCTCTTTTACGCTCCGAGGCAATCCTGCCGGCTAGGTCACACATCCGGTAGTCGCTATTCGCCAATTTCGCAGCATCTTATCTTCGCTTACCCGTGCTACATCGATCTTCGCCATTCGTTGTTCGCAGAGTTATCCGTAACGCCATCGACGCACGCATGACGTCACACACTTTAGCCGCTCACCGTCAATACCGTCACTGCCGTGGCCAGGGTTGTAAAGGGTAAATCCAGAATTCCAGAGGGGGGACACTGGAAGCAAGTGCCACCCCCGTTGGAAAAAAATAATATTAAAAATGTTTGTATTAGTGGGGGCTATATCTATATTATATAATTTTTCCTTTAAAGTGTCCCGATCGTATAACTGGATTCTTTCTTGGGGGCTGTCTAGTTTAACTTTCGGTCACCCGAAATCTCATTACGTGCTCGACCTACGCGCCTGCGACGCCGTTATCAGAGGGACCGGCCGCGAAAACGTTGCGGAAATGACAAGCGGAGCCTACACGGAACGAAAATTCATTAGTAAATTCAATAATGTTTAATTTTCATACTGTCCTGCACTCGTTTCACCATTTCGATATTCTTCCCATCGTTTATTGTGTTGTCCTGCCCATATACTCCTTTTCCCATTTTTTTTTTTTGTCGTTATTATTAACTATGAAATGTTTAGTGAGCCACTGGGCAACTTTTTTTTCTTTTTTTCTATTGACTAATTATTTATTTTTTATTTTTATTTATACATTTTGGTTTAATTTTTTTTTACATCAAAATTGTGCTTTACATTGAACACTTTCATTATTTATATAATTGTAATACGTTATACTCGTATTCTGATATACTTAGTATTTTGTGATTAAAAATTGTTTAAACAAAACATATCGTTTTTTTCGTATTGTGGAGTATGTAAATCATTTATTATAAAATTAGCGACTTTTAAAATCATTAAAATATTTTCATAAATCACATATTTTTGATAGATTAAAAGAGGAGGCAGCAATAAATAGGTTCAACGATTAAAACTATGAGATGAATACTATCTAAGAGACCACTAGGAAGACTGTGTGAAAACCGACGTGAAAAAGACTTAATCATTTAACCAAATGTACCATAGTACTAGCATATGTAGTATTACATAGTAATAACTGCAGAAGAAGAGAACTGATAGAGAGGAATTGGCTATGACACATCTCAACTTTTATAGACAACACCTTATTATTTCCTACAGAGTACGGATAAGTAATACATAATTGATAGGATAATTGATGTAAATATGTTTACCAAATGGAATAGTATATTATTTATATGTTTTGTCCTTCACATAATATAATGAGTGGCTTACAACAGAAATTATTGAATACATTATAATAAATTGCTCATGTAATCATATAAGTAAGAATAACATATTATTATTGAATGACATATATTTATGCAATTGATAATAAATGTAGCCTGTAGCTAATTGATTATACTTACCAATTATCAATTCTACTAAAAAAAAATACGAATAAAATATGTGGTTGAATTTATCTGCAGTATACCTAGCAAAAACTAATTAATTATTAATAATAACCAACGAATAACTTTGTTAACAACTAATAATTAAGTACAAATTTGTCCTCAGAAAAAAAAATTACAACAGAGGCGATTCTAGAGACTTAATTGGAGGAGGGGCTAAGTTATAATATTCATAATAATATCATACCATAGTATGTTTTATATTATTATCGTTTATTTATACTTCATAGTATATTAGTATAGATAATAGTCAATAAGAGATATATACACTTAACTACACCGGTGGTATTGAATTGAGTCCATGCTACTTTTATGTGTTTGAATTAAGTCCATATAGATAAAATGTCTTAACACTCATAACTATCTATATAGCCGGTGAAACACAATTAGTTAATACTTATTTAATTATCAAATTATTACGAGTGAAAAATGGAGTGTATGTTTAGATATTCAACCGTAAAATAATTATTTCTTCTCAAACAATTTTTAATATTTTGTTATACCTTTATTTCCAAAACCAATAAAATAAGTATGTACTTGAAATTTCCAAATTATTATTTTCAATATCTATATTATGAAAAAAAGGTTCAACAAATTTTGACCTTTTTTGAAATATTTATAAGTATGACAAATTTTCAACTTTTTTAGTATTTTTTTATAATCGTTGATAAAAAATTATTCTTAAAGTAAAAAATGTCTTTATACTTATTATTACAATTAAAAAAGGAACTCAATTCAATATTTGGGACTCAATTCAATGTTATCCAACTACACACTTGTACATATATAATAATAGTATAACGCGTTTTTTTTTATACAATTTTTTTAGAAATATGGGCTTGAGAGGGACATGGTCTCCTAAACCACTCCTGAATCAGTGCCAGATTTAGAGAGGGACAAGTGGATATCCTTCAAGCATTGTTACTACAGGGGCGCTCTTAAACTTATGAAAAATAAAAAATAAAAGTCATGAACATAAAATACGTATAAATTATAACATATTTTCAAAATTTCATAAAGAAAAAAAATTATATTACACATTACTTATTTAAAAATATATGTTTATCTTTATTTTTTTATCTGGTATTGACATATTTCATAGAGTTGCTATAAGTTTTTATCAATTCATCGGTTGACCGACGATAATTGTTTATTATTTTAATGTTAAATAATTGAAATACGATGTACGAATATAATATGATGATAAAATTTAAATTTCCAATATTTTAAAAATATAATGTTTTGCTAAATTAAAATAAAAAAATTTTAATTCATAATATTTTATACATATATTATGTTCTATACAAGGTAATACATTATGATGACAATGGTTTCAATAAAAATATTTTTAGGTAATATAAAAATATACTTTTTTATTTATATTTAAACATTTTGTTTTATGTTGACACCCGACGTACCACATGGAATTTACATCAAATTTTTATATTGAAAGTTTTTATATTATATTATAGGCGGCATCCTATTTGGCGATATTCGAATAGCTTCAATACAATTTATTAACGGTTCGTGAATAGGACTTCAATACGGCAAACGTCGTTAAAATAAAACACAATAATATAATAAGTACTCTATAAATGTAATGTAATACGTGGAAAAAATATTTTATTTTAATCGATTCTTATCCAATTTTATCTTTTTCTTGTATCATATTAAATGACCTGAACCATTATTGCTATAAGTATATACACATTATTGTGTGATACATATGCACTTACCGACTGACGTATGTATGTAGGTATATAATATACCTATAGTCAAATTTTTGTATCGTTCAGTTTCAACGTGTATTGAAGAATGTATATACAAGTTATATTATGTTTTTTTTTTTTTTTTTTGTTACCTATAGATATGAACAAGAGCGACCGCCCGTCGAGAAATGCTGCGCGTTTATTAGAATTCGGACCATCCGAGCGAAAATTCAAAAGGACACCACTGTATATTTCACCTTTGATATTAAACGATCTTCTTGTACATGTAATAATTTTAAAACGGTTACCTATTGAACATTGAAACCCATTTTCGTTACCCTTGGAAATACTTTTGATGTTTATATAGTTATTTGCTTAACGATCAAAAAATATATGTTCAGTATATTATACATTTATAATATATATATATAGTCATATTATAGAAGGCTGTATAATATTATATTCGTTTTATGTGTATCTATCAATGCAGTTTAATATTCTTGTATACACATTTATATATCGGTTAAATGTATATAGTTTATTTCAAACTGCAATATTAATGTCAGTTATGTCACAGACTACCAAATGGAGGTTCCATTATTCTGAAATTTTATCATTTGGTTGTGGCATAAAAAATTTATGCGTTTTTCACATACCTACAAGTTTAATTCTAGATATATATTTAAAAATAACTGTTCAAGATTTTGACGAATAAAAATGTTAAGTTATAATATAAAAAATAAATAAGTTATATGGTTACCTATGGGTGGCCACCTACTGGCTATACTCAAAAAACAAAGTACCTATAGGTTGAATTAATTTACGCAAAAACAACACTTATACATAATATACTATAATATTATTAGTCATTAATCATATTTTATTGAATATTATTAGTCAATAACGCCTTATATATTATACTATACAATAGTGTATTTGTGTGAATAATAGATTTGAAGTATGGTATAAATAACTTAAAATTATTCTACATTTAGGCAATACCTACTTAATGTCAAAATATTTAAATATTATTCAATATTTTTATAATTCAATATTCTGTGATTAATATTATTTTTAACATAATATATGTATTACAGAGTACTGATATATTATTATAAGCCCGATAAGGGGTGAGGACAACTTAGTCTTCAATTTTATGAATTTTTATAAGGAACTCCAAAATAATTGTCATTAAAGTATTGGGTAACTGATAAGTGATGCCAGCCACACCGTCCATATGTGTTGTTTCTGTCTTATAATTTACCTATTATACATTTATACAATATGGCAAATTTTACATTCAAAATAAATAAGCCATTTTATTCTAAGATATTTTCGATACTTAAGATAATTTTATAATTTACCTACAATTTTAAAATGTTTATAACTTCTTACTTCGTGATTAAAATTTCAATAAAAGTCTCAGTGATACTTTAGTTAATAATTTCGCAGTTAAATTTTAAAATAGATCTATTTACTCTAAATAAAAAAGTAAAATGGATTATTGTTAACATAAAATTGTTATGTTAATATCTTCATATAAAACATGCGGGCATGTAACATTTTCTGAAGACCAATTTTTATAATAAAAAAAATACCTTGTACAATTATACACTAGTATTGATGTCGGTGAAGAAATACATAATAAATTATTTGAAAATTTTGATCTATAATAGTTTTCAAATATTACATTACTATGGCTGAATGAATATACCAAATATAATAATGCTAAAGGCCGTAGGTACAGGGACTGCAGACAAATATTTAGTTTAACCATGTAACTCCAATAACTTCATGTTATACAAGGAATAAGTATGGATAAGGGATAGTGATTGGTAAAATATACATTTTTGGTAAGAAACTTTATATTATTTATCTATGGTTACAAGCACAAATAATAAAATCATTTAATAGTATTAAGGTTAACATTTTAGAATAAAATTACTAACAATGAGTTTTGCTTTAAAATTTAAATTATCTATTACTGCTTTAATATTTTATAATGAAAAGATGATAGTAAATATTTAATATTCAACAGTAAAAATTAATCAATAGGTAAACAATAGTTAATTTTTATACTCGATAATTTATGAAACTTACTTTTTTATACAAATAATTAATTTTTTTAAATTCTGTTTTTGAACATATATTATATTGTTTATATTAATTAAAACATCTGTAGTGATAAAAATTAATTTTTTTCAATTAATTATAACTATTTAAAAAAAGTTTACTATAATCCTGACTAGAATATAGTAAATATCAAAGTACCTTCAAGTAATATGCTTTGATTAATACAGGTTAAATAATATTAATATTATCACTGATTATTCTTTACTAAAAAAACATACCAATATTGATTTTTCTTAAAAAAAAACCAATTGAATTTTTTTTATAAATTTATCATATATTACCAAAAACAAAAACATAGTAAATTAAGCTTTAATTTTTATGCTCTTAGAAAGATTAACTTTAATACCAGAAATTTCTCCATCATAACGACGAATTTCTTTACGTGGCTCTGAAATCTGAAATGAAATACATACAAATATTAATACTTAAAATCATATAAAATTTCAAAACTAAAATTTGATTATTAATTTAGCTAACCTGTCCCTTCCTACGGATTTTGGCTTTACGATATTTCATACGATTCTTCACTCTTGGATTTCTAAGTTCTTTCTTACGTCGAGGAGTAAGTCCCTTATTCTTAGCTATTTGATAGGTTATACCACGTTTTTCATCAGTGGTCATCATTGGTTCTTCTATAACATAAATAATTTGTAATAAAAACACTAATATTTGTAATATTATATTAACATTATACCTTTATCTTCTATTGCATCATCTTCGTCTTCACTATTCTCAAATGTATTATTAGATTGGTTATCATTTGTTTTTTCCAGAACATTTTCTTTGGGTTTAATTGTATTGACAGGTTTCTGTACTGGTTTTTTCAGCAGATTAAGTAATTTTTTTGGTTTATTTTTATTTGCCTTAGAGTTAGATCTAAATTTTAAAAAGCTGTTAAGTAATGAAAATGTTTGTTAAATTAAATAATTTCTTACTCTACTATATTGATATTGGACAATATTTGTTCAATCTGAGGTAATATTATTGTTTCAAATTGTTTATTCTGTTCACATAAAATTTCACGGTATCGAAGTAATCTATTCATAATAGGATGACTTTGCACTGGTTTACGAACAGATTTCATAAGAAAATAGAATCCAATATTGGTACAGTAACTAAAATAATAATACAAATGTAAAGTAAGAATAATTTCAACAGTTGATGTAAAATATCAGTATTACTTCAATATAATTTCAAAATAACATTGTGCATATTCTGTAAACCGACTCTTTGGTATGTCTCCAGATCTAACTAACTTCAAAAAAGGAGATAATTTTTCTTGTGCATTTCTCATGTAGTCTATGTTATAAAAATAAATTGTTTTATTATATATTAAATAACAAATTATATGAATTTCTATATTAAAGAAAATAATGTTAAATATCAAAAAATAATTACTTTTGAAATCTGTGATTAGTCCAAAAAGTTCAGGAGATTCTTTCATTAATAATTTTCGTTTTTCACGATCACTCATTGAACTCAAATCTTTTTTAACAGTCATCATTTGTGTTATATCACTCGAGTCAGTTCCTTCTTTTACATTGTCTGTTACTTTAGTCCCCTAGAAATAATAAACATTAATAAATCAAAAACTTACTATAAATAAATTTTATTTACAATAACTTACAATAAAAAGTTCACTATCAAGGTCCACATTTTCTAATTCAGACATCATTCTTTGATGGATTTTACGCGCTTCTTCTTCTTCCATTTTAGCAGTTTCTTCATCTTCTTCCCCCTCAAAACCTATATAAATGTATTTATATAAAATATTCAATAATTAAATATAAATAATATGTTACCTCCATGATCTTTATCTAAGTAGTCTGTATTATAAAATGATCTTCTTAGTTGACCCCAAGCCTTGTCATTAGGTAAATCATCTGAACCACTTTCTGCGCCTTCTATATCACTATCACTAATGTGTTTTTCTTCATCATGATCTGAATATTGTTCAATATCATTTTCAACTTCATCATCTTCTTCACTGTCTTCATACTGATCTAGTTTATTACGTAGTGGAAATACTTCTTCCTAATTACATGAGTAAACTAATAATTATCATCCACTTTCAAGATTTCTACTTATTTTCAATAATTTGTAGTTATAAATAAAAATGATTTAAAAAGTTTTAAATAATTCACTATAAAAAACAAGTGTTTAAGTTAAAAATAATCAATTCAATTTATAAATATTTAAATGTTTACTTAAATAATTTGTTTTTTTTAAGCGAAATTACAATAATTAAAGAACTGTTAGGAATAAATATTTATAATATATTTGATACAAAAAAAAATCAAAATTATTTTTTGAATTTGTTTTACCTCAATAAATAAAATTTCTTGATTCAGTTTTGGCAATTTAAATAGTTTTCATTACACAATAATAATTTATGTAAGATTAGATAAAAAGATAATTTAGAAGTACTTAGATTTTAACATAGAAACCATAATGTACAAATTGTATATAATATAAATGGTGCATAAAATGAATTACTTCGCTCTCCTCATCTGAATCATATGGTCCTTGAACAAGTTCTTTTCGTGTTTTTTCTAAGAGAAGCTTTTCGTTTTCATCATAATCACTCTCTGAATTTTCACCATCAAAATCTACAGAAGCGTCATCATCGCTCTCCACTTGCTTGCGCCCCCTTTAAAAAATATTTTACATTAGATAATTAGGTATATAATTAAGATAAATAAAAATATATAGAAACAACTAAATTAATTTATCAATTGAATAAATTCATTAGATTTATGCCAAACATTTTTCAAATATTGTTAGAATAAACTAGAACAATCCAAAAAAAATTTATAAGTATTTCATCTGTTTTTGATGACCATAGTATGAACCACTTTAAGCTCTGTAACATATTTAATCAATTTATTTACAATGTACTATTATTTTGTTAAATATCTAATTCTAAAAAATGTTTAACTCATACTTTTTATGAATTTTTATAGTTGTGCATTTCTAAACATAAATAATTTATGAATTCATTGAAAATCTTTTAATTTCTTTAAATCTAGATTAGAATTAAATTTAAGATAATATCTTAGCTTTGAATTTAATTTAAAAGAATACCTTATACCGTTATACATAAAGAACACTTTTAAAGAGATGAAAATATTTCAAAATTGGAAGAATGATATAAATTATTAGTACGTTTGATAATATTGGTACTGATATTCAAAATTTAATAATATTTAAGTAGGTTGATAAATGAAAAAGTAAATAACACTAATTCAATTTATATTTAATTACTGGTATAAAACAGCAAATTTCTCAGGATATTCTCTCCAATAATTGAATTAATACTAAGCAAAACGATTAGATACAAATAATTATTATCACAAAAGTTACATTACAAATCATTGTTTCTTATAATTATTCATTTTATATAAACAATTATCTTGAAAATGGAATTTATTTCAAATAAAATAACAAGTCAATATAATACTCTTACTTTAATAAAAACGTAGTAATTAATATTGATTTGTATGTACTTACCAAGGTTTCTTTTTCATCGTGTTTTAATAATTTATAACTATATAATATTAAATAATTATAAGTTACAGCACATTTGGCACCTATTTGTATGATAAATTTCTTATGTTCAATTATTCAAAATAAAGACTTAAGAGTAAGACTCGACCACTTAATTGTTATTTGTTACTCGGGTATGGGCTATGATTGCTATGAACTATGAAGTATATGAAAATATGAAATACTGAAATAGGTAATCTCCCAATTTTAAATTTAAGCTTTTGAGGTTAAATACTACCACGAAATTATACTATCAAATTAAACTACACCATTTAGTACCACAGAAATAAAGAATAACCGCGTGAATACATGGTAGAAATTTTATTCTTATTTTCTACCATGAATCAATGGTATCTGAGATGTTGTTATCTACTGTCCTCAGTGATAAAAACACATGTTCGTTGTTTTCGAAATACATTTATCTGCTATCAAGACTTAAAGTTTAAATATAACTGTTTTATTAAGACTATAAATATGGTCATTAAATATTAATAATCATGCAAAAATGTACTACATTATACCTGATGGCATAGTTAATTGAATTGTGTTTTGTTCGGTGGTTGATTATCGGTATTTACTATTTTCTCTTAACCTCAATGATCATTTCACACTTTCACACTGTGTTCAGTTTAAGATCTAGTGTTTTGGACATTTTGGTCATTGTCCGATATTGAATCGGTTTATGACAATTTGTTTATTGTGATGTTCTTCATTCTTGATAATCTTACATTAACTTCTTTATTAAATAATATTTACTTTAGTTTATTAATACATTGATTTTATTATGTTGTGAATATTCTAAAATGGATACAAGCAATGATTATTTATTCGCTCTACAATTGCAAAACGAGTTGGCCAATTTTGAGGATAATGAAGAACTACGTTATATAGATTTGACAAAATCTACGACCAGTTTGGCTTCCAGCCCTAGAAATGGTAGTATAGTTGATTTAACTGATATCAATACTAATGTTAAAAAACAAAAACGTAATGCTAACGACGATCTGCCACGACCAATTAAACGAACTCACACTCAAAATATGGAGACTACTGAAAGTGTAGTACACCATTCTTGGGAAATGTTAGACCCTAATCCAGATATACATGGTTTATTTTTGGCATTTAATCGGCAGTATTTTTGGAGTACATTGGACTCGGTTATGGTACAATGGAGCAAAAGAATGACAGTCTGTGCTGGTTTATGTAGATATCAAAATGGATTTTGTTCCATAAGCCTTAGTGAACCACTTTTAAAACTCAGACCTCGAAAAGATTTAGTTGAAACGCTGTTACACGAAATGATACATGCATATTTGTTTCTTACTAAAAATAAAGATCATAGAGATAGAGATGGGCATGGACCAGAATTTTGTAAACATATGTACAGGATAAATGTGGGAGCTGGCACTAAAATATCAATTTATCATGATTTTCACGATGAAGTAAATTTGTATAAAACACATTGGTGGAAGTGTAATGGACCATGTCAAAATAATAAGCCATTTTATGGATATGTAAAAAGGAGTATGAATCGTGCACCAGGGCCATATGACAGTTGGTGGACTAAACATCAAACTAATTGCAGTGGAACTTTTATTAAAATTAAAGAGCCTAAAGGATATGGATTAAAAATAAAAACAATTGTTCCTAAACAATTGGATGTTAAACCTGCTAATAAAATAACAAATTTCATTACAATTTTGAATCCTCCAATTAACAAAGTTCATGATGATTCTGAAATATATTCCAAATCAATAGAGAATGGCCAAAAGTTAAATTTAGATAATAAATCAAGTTCATCCCCAAAGAAAGATCCTGAACAGAATGCTAACATGCCTTCTGAATCTGAATCTGATTCTGATGAAAGTGATGAAGAAAATGATCAACTAGATATATCTTTAAAAGAATTAGGTAGAACTACATTATGTCCTATTTGCAATGATCCTGTGCTTGCCAATTGGTTGAATGACCATTTACAAAATTGTGATCAACTGAGAGAGATGTTTGGCAATGAAATTAATGATAAATGTAAATGCCCAGCATGCAATGATACAGTTGATAGATCCTTAATGAATGAACATTTAAATAATTGTAAAATGTTGATAAATGTATTTGAAAATGACTCTGTAGATGTTCCTGATGATAACAATTATATAAGCTGTCCATGTTGCGATAAAATGGTTAAAGAAAGTAATATTAATACACATTTAGATATTTGTATGTCAATAGAAACACCAGAAACACTTAAACCAAATGTTAACAAAAATAATTTAAAATGCCCATGCTGTGAAAATATATTTAAAAATGTAATAGAGTTAGATGATCATATAGATCATTGTTTGTCAATATCTTAAAAATCATGATTTATTTTATGTTTTACTTATTTTTATACATTATAATACATTAGATAAAACATTTATTTATTTTTTATCTTCATTGTATCTAAAATTAAAATAATGCTTATTTATAGAAAATTTAGAAAATATTTTATATTTAATTATTTTAAATGATTTGTATAAAAAGTAAGTATTAAAGTTTAAGCTCATATGTTTGCACTTCAACTTGTAAAAAATCATGTTTTTACAAAGAAAATGTCTGGATATTTTGTGATTATCATTATTTAAAATATCTATGTTTATTGTTTAATATTTTATATATTATATTAGTTGTTGCAGTATAAGAATATTAATTTTAATTTTATGTGTTAATTGTATTATATTTGGATATTTTTTTATGATGTTCCAAAAAGTTACTCTTTGTTGGCTCATAACTAAAAATATCTAAATCAAGTATGTTGTAACATAATTTTATTAATATTCATTTTTTTTTTTATTATTAGTTATTCTATCATTTAACTTTTGTATAATGCAATAATGAATACTAAATTCTGTTAAATATAAAAATTATTTTTGAAATTAATTTTTATTCTCATTATTATTATTTTACAAACAGAAAACCATCAAAAATATTTTGTGATCAATGTATTGAAAAATACTACTATCAACTATTCTGCTGAAAGCATCATAAAACCTGACACCAGCACTTGGTTACCTCATAAGTTATAACAATATTTATGAAGTGTAACTCCTAATTAGTTTAATTTAATGGTAAACAAACTACAAACAGTAAATTCTAGTTGTTTTGAGTTTACGGTAATGACCATTCTTGGTTTATCAATCTTTAGTATTATTATTTTTATAATAATATAAATATTTAGTGTTCAGAAAATAAGGAAAAGTTACACTATATTTAACATTTTGCATATTTTTTAATTTAATTTGCAGATATGAAAATAAGACAACTAGGCAAACAATGTTTCTGTTTGACAATTATTTTAATTTATGTAGGTATTCTAAATATGCATAACACAATTTAATGATTTTTATTTAATTGAATTTTTTTCAAACCATTTTTGTGTATTGATTTTATAATATGTACTTAATCCAAAATAGCTATTTCTGATTTATTTTTTTGTCTAGTATGCATTCTGCATGTAGGCTGAATTTTTTTTACTATTAAATATTATAATTATAATTTAAGATAGATTAATACATTTTTATTGTACCAAGGTATATTTAGAATTAAGTCTTGGGTAAATACATTTAAAAAAATATGTTCATAACTACCATTTAAAACATTCATTATTCAGTCTATTCTAGATTTAAAATACAAGTTGATACATCAAAATAATTTTATGACATTTAATCAACTTAAGTATGTTATTAAAAGTAAGGATTTTCATTTAAATTAAAAAAAGTTGTTTTCCAAGCGCATAATTAAAAAATGTAGAGAAATTTATGACAAGTAGTCAGTACTCTGTTCAAGTCAAGAAATATATTTAGCAATAATCAGTTTTCATTGGCAGCAATCATAAATTGTCCTTCCTTTTGAGTCAACCGTTAATATATCCACCATGAAGTTTAACCATACTTTTGCAGATTAGTCAGCTGTTTCTTAGTTTGAATAGTTTAACTGTGTGCAACCCAAGTTTAAAATTTGTATAATGTACAGTTACTGTGAACACTATAACTGGATATCAAAATATATTCAGAAATAAATTGTAAGTTACTTTTTGATATTTGTTTAATTATCTGTATTTCTTTTATGCTTAAAAAAATTAAAGAATAATCTCTTCAAACTATTTTTTGTTTAGGATTCAATTTTTAATTATAAAGATGCTATAAGAAACTTTTTGAGGATTTTTCCTACTTACATAAAAATTATTGTATTTTTAAACAATTATTGTTTAAGTAGGTATGTAAAACGACTTTAGTTTTAAATCTTACACTATTACAGTTTGTCATTTCTTTTTTAATATACCTAATTAAAATTAAAATTGTTAGTTTAACATAAATGAATTCAAAATTAGATATTTTTATAACATAACTTATTTATTTTGTAAATTTATCAACTACAAAAAATCAGGAATATTATTTAATATGTTATTACGTCAAAAAACAAAATTTTAGAGTTCTCTTTTTGAGCTTTTATAAACAAATGGCTTCAACTAAATATTCTATTACAAATAAATACTGCATACCTATAACATTTCTTTTTTTTTTTTTTAAACAAGTTACAAACATAATACTATACAATTTATTTTAACAAAGAATAAGTATACATGTTTTTGATATATTTTTGTATATTTAGCTACATCATACACAATTGCATTTCAAATTTTAGGTCGTATTAATATTGCTACATAAATTATGTAAAGGCCGGTCAAATCCATAAAATAAAATACATTTTTTTCTATTAAATATTAACATTAACTGAATACATAATTTAATATATGTAATAATTAATGGTGAAATTCTATTTAAAATGTATATTGTACATAATTTTTTACAATAATAATAATAAAACAAGTCAAATTCAATAATTCTAAATTTAAGATAGGTACATAAAAAAAAAAAAAAAATGATTAAAAATTAAAATTTTTTTAGTAGCAATGTAGATCACATCATTAATACACATTTAAATTTTATAATTTAATGAAGAGATGACATGGGTGAGAAATTTATTTATAATTAAGTAAAATTTATTAATTTTTCTTATTATAATGATATGATCAATAACAAACAATACAAACGTGTGACAATATATTTAAATATAAGATATGCCATTTTGAATAATTGATTAGGACCATAAGATAATGCATAGCAATGTTTCTAAATTTATGTTGTTTTAAAAAATGTTTATTGTTCAATAATGTTGGAATTTATGCTAAAAGCAATTTAGCAAAAATAATAAAATAAAGAAAAAAGTTTAATCAGTTTTAGAAAAAGTATTTGTTTTCTTATACAGTTATATTATAATCAAAATGCATTAAAGGAATATGTAAATATACAACAATATCACCACAAATAAATAATGTTGATGTTTATGGTAAAGCATTTAATGGTGAATATAAGTATTTTATTTCTAATACGTACATTTTTTAAATTTATTCTATGCATAATTTTACAAATATAATTTAAAATACTTTATATATTCTAACCACTAAACTTTTTTCTATAATTTTTTAATTGAATACATTTTATACTATGAAATATGGACAAATCGTTTTTAAAAGATTTTACTCAATCTTGGTTATTTATTATACAATGATTGTATACTCAAATAATAGGTAATTTAAAACAATTATTCTATTCTTTCTTCTAGATTTATTATGTCTATACACACATATATATATATATATATATATACTTTTTTTTGTTTACAATTCTATACAATAAATTGTAGTATTAACCAGATTCTTAAACAAATATAATATATATAGTAAATAGTTATTTCATTAAAAAAAAATAAAAAATAAAATAAATAGGAACTAAAATTGTTCAATGCTATCATATTTTCATCAAATAAATATTGAGGTTATCCCAAAGAGGTAAATATTATTCTTAATTAATAAATCATCTATTCTCAACAATTGACATTTTTTGGTTTTAGTTTTAACTAATATTTTATAAACATAAATGTAAAATAATACAACATATAATTATAATGTATAATTTATGCTATATATATTATATACTTTCGACTTAATTTAAGCTAATATATAATTTTGGTGTAATTAACATAACATTATTCAATGATTATATTATTGTTATATCAATAAAAAATATTAATAATTTTAAATTACAAAGATATTAAGCTTATTAATGAACAGGAATTTAAAAAAATAATAAAATTATTAGTCCAGAATGCTTTTGATTCGTTACATTTGTTTTTATAGCATAACAATTTTTTTTCTTATGTTCTATAACGTATATTGTGAATAACATTCTACACTCATTAGGTTTTAAAACAAAATATACTTTTTGGTACCACAAATCAAATTTTGACAATTTGTTTTGGCATGTAATTAATTTATACTGTTAGAAATGTACTTTGTATCAGAACTTAATGTATATACATACATAATATTTGTTACATAAGATTATTATTTTATACCCTATGAGGGTCTCTAGGAACAAGTAATGACAAGTATAAATTATACAAAGAAAAATAGAAAATACTGCTTAATAATAGTGGTTGGTGTTTAATTAGTGTTTTACATATAGTCTAGATCAAAGGTCTTTGGCTAAAAAGGTTGAAAATCCTCATTTTAAACCGAATTAAAAAAATAAAAATTAAATAATTAATATCATAAATAGTAACTGAGAACTCAGTAAATTGATGTCAACTGCATATATAAATGATAGTATTATGTTGAAAATAGATTGAGTGACTTTAATAATACATATTCAATATTTCTGAATAAAATAAAAAAATAAATTAACTTTACTAAATATAAATAAAAAAGAAGAATATTTAATAATAATATTAATAGTTAAAAATAATTATGTATAAAATTTCAACTAGAAAACATTGCTTAATAAAATAAAGTTTTTTTTAAAAAAATGACTAGATATTTACTAAAATCTATCTTACTTAAGACCTTGTTAATTGTTAGTTTTAAAATTAGATCTAATTTTAATAATAATACGAGCACATATTAAATACTTAAATTAATAAGGTATTCCAAATTTACTAAAACTAGTCACTTTCAAAGTAGATTCGATGTACCAAAACTTGGTTTATTTCACTTACTATAACGCAAGTTGTATGTTGTTATTTTTCCATTTATAAAAGCTATGATTAATCATGAGGTATGATAACATAATAATTCAAAGTGGTGCATAGAGAAGTATAGTGTTTACATTATTTTTAAAATAAGAAGTGCTCATAAAAAAATTTAAATAAAAAATTGTGTTAACTCTGTATTAAAATGTATGTATAAAATTCAATCAAAAAGTCAACAAAAGTAATTCATGAATTCTTAATGGAAGTTAAAATTGGTAACAATTGTGAGAAAATTAGTGTTTATTGAAATTTTTGTTTATTGTACAAATAATTGAGCTATATTATGAGAAAGTTGGAGCACTAAAATATTAAATATATAATTTTATGACAAATTATCTGTAAAATACTGAACACTTAAAGAAATTTAATTGTTAAGGTAATGTTTGTATCACTTTCTTACTGAATGGTTAAATGGATGAAGGTGCTTAGTGTAATTTTTAAACTTTTAATTTTATCTTATGTTATAACGATCATGTCACAATGTTAACTTTATCAACCTATATATCTGAAAGAAATGTTTAAGCTAAGTCAAAAATACTATAATATATATTAAATTTTTTATCAATATAATGAAAAATGTTTTTTTTTCAAAAAATGTTATTAAACACTTTCATCTATTTAACCCTTCAGTTATAGAATATTAAATAATCTATATAAAATTTTTACTGCCCTGGAAAATTATGCTTTCATTTGAACAAACACACAAAATCATTGCAAAACAACTGTTTTCTCATAAGCTACTTTGGGGGATGGAATAGCCGAGCGGACTAAGGCGTCGATTGTGATGCACATCGTCGCTGGTTTGAATCCTGGCTATGGGCGGCATTGCTCTCTGGGCAGGCAACTGTCTAGGTCAGGGTTCAGCAATTAAATTCTATGGAGGTCCAGAAAATCAAAAAAAAAAATTTTCTAGGGCTAGTAAAAACTAAAAACTTAGATATTAGTTAATAATTGTTGTGTTATCGCAACTATTATTGTAAATAGTAATAAACGATAAACATCATCACAATCTCTAAATACGTCATAAAATAGATAAAATATATATTATGTGTGAAAAAACCAGCATTATTAAAAAAAATATTTTTTGTGGTCCAATTATTTTTCCTTCACGGGCCGAATTTGGCTCGCGGGCTGCCTATTGCCGACCACTGGTATAGGTAGCAAGGCCGCCGCCCCTCAACCAGGCATGGCAGAAACCTACGGGTGCCCAACTAAAAATTTTGCTAAATAGGCGTCCAAACTAGGCTTTCAGGTCTACTCCCGAACATAAGCGTCATACGCAAAAAAAAAAAAAAAAATAAGCCACTTTAAATATAGATTGCTACATAAATTTAAAATAATTTTTTTTTTAATATACTTTTACGTAGTTTTTTTACTTCCTCTAGGCTTAATGCTTTCACTGATTTGCCACATGGCTTCTTCACATAAAAACTCATCAAAATTGTTAAAGAATGCAATGATATGATCATGTTTCTTGAAATTATAGCATCTAAAAGTATTTTGGAATAAGTGTTCATTAGTCTAATATATAAAATAAAATATTATTACCCTTTTTTGAATCTCTTCATATTTTCAACAATATTGAACTGCTGCCATCTTTTGGAAAAATTTATTATATTATCTGATATATAGTCATTGTTGCCAATATGTACAAAAGTTAAATCTTGTAATACTAATCCTCTGAAATAAAAAAGTTTTTAAATGTTGATATATATTTAACTATGAAGGTACAATACATTTAATAGTATAATAAATCTGAATTCTTCAAATACACTTTCAGTGTTATTTCAATAATCTTAATGTAAGATGGGCTACTGTAGTAAAATTAGTTGTAAATATTATTTTTGTAGGAAAATGCCAGTATTAAAACAGCTTTATTGTTTTTATTAATTAACTTATTATAGTTGCATATAATTAAGTTAATTTAAATCATTATAATATGCCTGGATACATTAATGTAAACAACAATAATTTTTTCTCAAATAAATTAATCAAAACACAATCATTTATTTTGTTGGTTGATTATTTTACAATAATTAACTATAAAATTTTAATTTTAATATGTATAAATATTTTTAATTGTCTTACATGTAAGGGATGCAAGGAGGATTTGTATCAGCTAAAGCTTGTCTATAAGCTCTAAAACTTGATGAACTATCAATCAGTGCACAGTATTCTTTTAATCCTTCAGTTATATATTTTTGCCATTCAAGACGTCTTATTGGTGCACTATCTAAAGCAGATAAAAGAGCTAAATATGAATTAAAATTATTCATTTTTCTTAAGCTTTTCATTATTTTGATAAACTTTAAAACATAACGTTCACGTTCTTTAGCTTCGTTTTGTTCTAGTATGCGCGACCTTGCCCTAAAAAAGTATTATATTACTTATAAACATAATATTTAGGGTGATTTACCAAGCATGCATAGCCCAATTTTTCCTATACTAATAAATTTGTTTAAACTTTATACTGTACAAAGGTCATATTTTTAGATAATTATATTTATAAAATTTTTAAGATACCCTGTAATGATAAAAATTTCTTTTTTTTAAATAAGAATTTTTTTACTGCATTTTTTAGATGATTTTTTAAAAAAAATATTGATGTATCTAAATCAAAGTTTGAGCAAGTAATTTTTAAGTTATGAAAATGTTTATACAAAGGATATAAGTCCTTCAAAATTGTTTTACAAATTTTAAAATATTAATTACTTAAAATGTTCAAATAATTATAGCTTTCTTACTTTCTAAGCTTAATATCATGAACTTATCATCCTAGTACTTAAAACAAGGATTTGAATTAAGATACATCAAAAGTTTCAGAATATTCATACAATAATCAACAATAATATATAATAATGTATATTGATACAGGGGAGAAAAAGTTGATTCTTAAGAATTACAACTATTGAGATCAACAGGACATCAAGAATTTAAGTATTTAAAAATATGGTTCTAAATATAATATATACTAAAAAATTCCAAAATTCAGAATTCCAATAAAAATATAATTAAAAGAAAAATAGAGATGAACATACTAGGTGAAACACCTGTATAACAAAACAATATATTATATATTAAACGAACATAATTCATATTTTCCTTAAAAACACATACCAGTATGACATTTTGTTAAAATGTTCTGTGAATTCTGTAAGATTTGGACTACGCTCTTCATTTTGTTCTTTAACCCAAATTAAAACCTCAGGTATCTCAATTTTCATAAATAGTTCTGAATCCAACATTGTCATTTGTTCAGCAATAAGTTCTGTTTTATAGTCTAATAAAGTGGCTTGACGAGTATATATATTTTGAGATGGTAATAGGGCATTGATTGAAGTGTTATGTGTCATTTTTGCCTGATACCTTTCCAAAAGTTTTACTCTAAGTGCTTTTGCCATGGTTAAATCACCAGCACATAATAGTTGATACACAAAATCCATGAGAATTTGCAGCACTTCATTATCTAAGTCTGTTAAACTGTAATAAATTGAACCTTTTAAATATTTATTCTCATTATTTTAAAATTTGTATTTACTTACGTTAAATCACTAACAACTCTAACTAACAAAGAAAAAGATTCTCGACCAGCTCTTTGCCTATTTAAATCACCAGAATTTTGGAACCTTTGGTGTCGCATGCATAGTTTTTGTATTAATTCTAAAGGTGATATAAAAGTTCTATATGTTGTTAAAAATGCTTCTTGATACATGAAATCTAAAGCAATCATAAAAATATTATAAATGAATAATAAAATTACACACAGTTATACATTGAGTGTCTTCATTTATAATTTAAAAGTTTCAACTTTTTTTCATTGCAAAATATTAACTTCGCAATTTTTTGTTATCATTTTCAAATTTACTTTTTTGAAGGTTAACATGTATTTTAAATTTCATTTTCTATATCAAAATATTTGAACTAGTAGGTAATTAACACATTGATGTGTGACTGCAGGTAATTGCACACTATCAGAGTATAAAAGTATTTTAATGGACGCCAGCAGTCACACTTTTTTATTATTTAATGAATAATATTTATACACCTTATTAAATAACATGTTCTGAATTTAATTTTTAAGTATTGAAGTACTCCTAAAAATTCATGAAATTATATAAATTTTCAAACAAAACTTAATGAAATAATAAATGTTGACATTTAAATGAATCACTTAATAATATAATACAATTTTACCATTTTTAACTGCGTTTGTTGCATGAACTACAAGAGCATCTGCATGTCCACCACGAACAAGTGGTCCATCTTCTTCTGGTTTTTTAAATAATAACCATTGAGATACATTTAATTCTTCCATAATGTTAACTTCACTAATATCAGTTTGTAGAGGTTGTTCAATAGCACTTGGTGTAACATCCCTATAAAACAAATATTATATTATATTTAGCAAGAGGTAAAAAACTTAAATATTTATGAAAGTAATATAATTGCACAATTCAAATACATAATTGTTATTATAATTATTCAGTTAAAAATTAGTGTTTGATATGTATTTATGTATATAAAATTTATTTATGATGATCAATAAAATAAAAATACTTTGAGAATAATTAAGATTAAAAATTCCATCAGATAATTAATTATCAGATGGCATTTGATAATATAAAATTGATTTAGTTCAATTTTCAATCTATCAATAGTTATAGTAAAAAATAGAAATAAATTAATATCTTACTGAATTTCTAAACACTGAGTTTGAGTTGGAGTTGATATAACTTCTGTTATGTATACTTTATTCGGAGAATTAGGTGGCGTCAGTTCTTTAAAAGGAGATGATATTATTTTACCACGTTTAGGTGGTAATGCTGGTGGATCTGATTCACTGAAATGATAGAATATATTTTTAATTCAAATAACTTCTTGAATTTAAGATTTAAAAAAGCATATTAAATACTTGGTAAAATAATATTGTTGACAAGAATTTTCAACACTATAACTTTGGATTTCACTTTGATATTTTTGAGGTGAATTCCAATTACTTTGATGAAGCATTGTGTATGTATGAACAGAATGGCGTAGAAATTCCGTAGTATTTCCAACATGCGCACAATTACCAAACATTTCCATATATGCCATTACTACAATAATTTAATGTTTTAAGTAAATAAAAATTATAATATTATATAAAGAACATCTTTCTATATTCACTCTAAACTATTTTCAAATTAAATTTGATATAGTTTTTTCTAACTAAATGATAATTAACATGCACAAAAAACCTATATTTCTTAACATCTTACCAGAATATGCCACCGAATGAAACACTAGAGAAAAATAAATTAATAACTATAAATTGGTTTATCATAAATAATAATCATATTAAAAAAAAAAATTCAATAATTTCAATAATTTTATTAATAGTTATTCAATTTTATATAAATCATAAATTATTATTTTTTTCATTATTATAAAGGAGAATTTATTAATTGATGATTATATTTAAAATTAAATAGATATAATAATATACAACTGAATACAGTGAAACCTCTAACAAGTCTAACAGATACTTTAAATAGAAAACATTTTTTTTTATTAAATATTTTACAAACTGAATCCTCTGAAAAGTGGACACAATTTCATTCAACGACAAAGTGTCTAGTATTTAGAGGTTTTACTGTACATTTTTTATCAAGGTACAGTAAAAATTAAATAATTAAATTTATTTATTTGTTCATTCTTATCAAATATTTGATAGTTATTAATTATTGAACTATTAACCAAATATTAGGTAATAATTAATATTTAAATAATAACTGTAGATAATATATTTTAATAATTGTTTACTGATAATATAAATATACTCTAGTAATATTAATACCTCTAATGTTAAAAAAAACATTAGATATTTATTTATCAGGTAATATTTTGATATTTATATTAAGATATGAAAATTTCATTGGAGTCTTATGTTTAAATTTTTGTATTTATTCTAAGTCTTTAAGCAAAAATAATCAAGTTTTAATTTAACTTACTATGTTTCTTTTTTAATGGTAAAGGTGGTGGATTTGAAGGATCAACTGCAGGGTTATCAAGTGACGCAGTATGTGTTAAAGCTTGAATACTACAATGACTGTTATTTCTATGAAAGTTATATTGTGTGGCCATTTCATCCATAGATAAATTGTCATAAGTAGACCTCAGCCTTTGTCTGACTATTCGTTTTTTTTCTGGCACTGGTGGTGGAATCTAGTAAAATTAAAACTTCCGATTAAATATTGTATTGAAATGTAAGACAAACATATTTTTATTTTAAGTAAAATGAAAAAATAAATTACTTCATCATTTGATGATAGACAATTAATTTCGTTTGATACTACAGTTCTATTAGTGATTTGATGTATTGTTGTGGATTTAGAATGTGTCCAAACTTGATTAGATGCCTGATGAATAAATGCAGTTTTCTTTTCTACCATTGCTAATAAACACAATTAAATTATTTGTTTATAACTAAAGAAAATTTTAAATGAAAGAAAAGAAATCAATCCTTCTTTTAATGTTAAAATTACCCATTTTAAAAAAAAATCAAAAATTCAAATGATAAAATTTATATTAGTAATATTTGTAACATTCAAACCTGCTTTCAGGAATCTTTACATTATTAGGCCAATTAAGAAGTATAAAATAAAAATAGAAACATAAGTGTTGTATAATATTAAATGTAACAATGAACAAAAATTTAAAAAATGCTTATGAAAGTATGTACCCATTTACAATAGGTTATTTCACTTTAATATTTAAGTTAAACATAGAAAATTAGATCTACTACACAAAAATTTGTCATGTAGTACATTTGTAAAACATAACAAGACTTGCAGATATATCCTCTTAATATATGTTTCTTCATAATAAATAATTAATCATATTTTTATGTTATTTTACTTAGTTTTTATTAATTTTTTTAGAATAGGTAACTAGTTAATCTTAAGTTTGAACTGTATCAATAAATTGTATATATTGTTATGTAGTTTATTAAGAAACACTTACTATGTTGAGGTGGATACTCAGAAAATGGAGATATTCGTTTTTCATTGCCTTGGTCTACTGAAGCTGAACTGGAAGAACAGTTACAATAGCCACATACATGACTGACATCATCTAATAATTTATATAATAAATAGTATTTTAAATTATTATTTAATAAATAGATCATATTAACAGCTTACTAGTTAAAAAAGAACTATCATCATTGGACATAGCAATGTTAACTTCATCATCATTTAAAATTGAATCTAGCGAACCAATTGATGAAGACCTATCAGAAAGGCTTAATGGCTCTAAAGATAAGTTGCACAGAGTATGCTTGATGTTATGTCCAGTACGACGTTTTGGTGGCAAAGGAGGAGGAGAACTATTTTGGTCAGTCTTTTTCAACCATGTTCTGTTTGGGAATAATTTATTTATAATTAGACAATATTTTTATTACATATTACATGATCTTACCGATCAGGTAAAGGTGGTTTTGAAGGAGGATTACAGTCAACTGTATCAAAGGAATGATTACTCGTTTGTTCTAATATTTCTCTTTCTCTCGGTGTTAATGGTATATCTGGTAAAGAAACTCTTTGCTTCAGTTCATCAGGAAGTTTTAATGAATCCTCATCTTTATACACAGTTTTGAGTACACCATGGTTAAGTTTGTCATTAGTTAATGATACCAAGTTCTAAGATTTACCAAAAATTTTAGTTTATCATTGTTAATTTAAATTTATATAGCTACATAATGAATAAATTACAGGATAATTTATATGTACCCTTATTATTTTAATACCTGAATAGCTAGCTCAACTAAACGCAGTATATCTGATACATTATCTGTATTGATTGCTTTTTCTCCAAAAATAAGAACATCATCACATAGCTTAATCAACTGTGCAACACTTTGGTACACTTGATTTAAAGCAGATACAACCAGTGAACTTTGCTCATTAATATCATATGATTTAAACACGCCACAAATTGTTGTTACTGTTTCTAAAACTACTGTACCATTTCCAGGTAACATTTCTAATTTATTCTTTGTAACTACATCAAGGAAATGTCTTAAGGCTATCTGAACCTAAAAAAATTATTTTTTTTATTAAGTAGATAGTTATTTAAGTATAAATAAAATACTAAATTAACATACTTTTAATAAAAATAAATGATAAAATTAAAACTTACTTGTCTAACATTAAAGTCGATATCATTAAGGGATCGCTTAGGACTACTTCCAGATGAAGCATGTCTTTGCTTCGGTAAACCATTTTTTGGTGAACCACTTCTGGAGCTGATGGCACTATGATTAGGCGATCGCATTGCTGATAAAATATCCAATAAATCTTCTTTAAACGAACGAGCTCGTCTTGCAAATTTATTTCCACTACTAATGTTGCTATTCCATTTTTTGTACTTTTCATCTGGGACGACTCCTTAAGACAAACAGTAAAAATTAATATCACATTTATTTTTAAAATAATTCCACAGTAATGCAATACATTCTAAGTACACTTGAAATGGCACAAAGCTTATATTTAACACATTACTACTACATAATATAGGTAGTTATGTTATTACTTATTTGTGGACCGTTGATGCAAGTACACAGACTATTGAGATAAAGAATCTAAAAATAAAGCATCTAACCTAAGTGAGTGGGGTACGACACTACGGCCGTATACGAATGACGAATACGAAATGACTACAACTCTACACTATACACGCCTGACTGTCTCAGACTATAATACCTACACGTAGTTTCAGACTTCACTTTCAGTGTTCACCACTTATTACTCAACCGAGCCAATCTTAATATTATTTTAGTTAGAAGTCTATATATTGACAACTATCCAATTCTCGTACCTACTTATAACTTATCAAAAAATTTTACATTTAACGGAATCCACGGAAATAGTTTTCAACATTTCATACTCAATGAATAGGTAGGTACGTTTGTGGCGCCTACATAATTGGAAATATTTAATCATTAAAACATTAAAACAATAGATTATAATATTGTATACCTATTTAATTATTACGTCACGTCTACTACACGGTATCAACGATCAAGGTTATTTCTTATCCATACTTGGTCATTTGTTTTAATTTAATACAAATACAGGATGTACGTATATAGGCATTAAATGAGTAACTAGATTTAGACAGAATTCCGATGGATATACCTACATAAAATACGATGCACAACAACATTGACTGGTAAATATAAGTTGATAGAATATTTTTGGCAAAAATTAATATTTAAAAATGTAAATATAGTATTCAGTAGCATTCCAATAATAATACTTAATAATAGATAACTTTTAAATATATATGTGTGTGTGTGTATTTTTTATGAACAGGGATTTAAAAATTTTAATTGTATATATTATTACCTATACAAATCAATGATTCACTGATAGTATTGATAGTACTATACTCACTAATCACTTTTGTCTTATAAGTTATAGGTAGGTATGTACACAATTTAAATATATATATATATATATAATATATTTTGAAATAAGTACGTGGTATCAAGTAGATCATAATTTATTTATTTATACAACGTCTTACCCGCATGTGTTGTCTCTGTCTTGCTAACTTATTACAAAACAAAACTGGAATTGTTGAACACAATTTTTTTGTTATTTGTAACTGCACAGTTATATAAAGATACATCAAGACAACACGTGGGGGTGCATGATATCCTCCATGATTTATTGAAACGTATACTTACATACTTAAAATTATTTTTTTCAATAAATTAAATACACATTTTAAGAATATTAACAATATAATTTTTGATTTAAATATTCACACGTTTCATTAAACTTTAAAAATAGGTAAATATTTTACTTAGAAATCAATTAATCAAAAAAATATTCCCAAGAATTGACTATTTTGTTATCTATTATTCTTTTTTTAAATAATTAATAGGTTATAAATATAAAGCCAGGAATCCGGAAGTTTGTGTACTAATAATTACCAAAATAAGAAATAAACATACAATTTGATATTTACAATAAACATAATGAAAAATAAATTAAAATTTAACCTTTTTGGTCTATTTTCAATGTAAATAAACTGACAGCTTTTTTTAATAGATAGCACTTATGATACTAATTTAAAATACGCTAAGAAATAAATATCTTGTTCAAAAGTTACATTTAAAGTTTGCAATTTTAATACTATGCTAGGCCGTGTATCAGACACTATTTATAATTTGGCACCTAGTTAATACTTATAATTTATTAATAGGACTCAGAAGTAAAAAAGAAATTAAGTAAGCATAATACTTACGGAAAAATTGTAAAATATGCATGAAAAAGTGTTACTTATACAAAACAATTTGAAATTAAAAAAAAAAAAATTTTTTAACTAAAAAAATACGGTAAAATGACAATCGCGCCATTGTCGTCGAATTAATATTCAATTGCAACAATAAAAATAAATACGTAAAATAATACTGAGTTTTAAATTAAATATTATTTAAAATAATATAGGTCCTACTATAGGTTAAGAAAAAAAATCAATTTTTTTTTAGAAAATATTGAATATGCTTAATATACATATCATATAAATTAAATACACACTTTTTTTCAAAATTAACAAAATATGTATTTTAAATTTACCGCCGTATAGTTAGAATTTTTAGGTATATCTGCTGTACGTCGAGAGTATAATGTATAATATTATAGAGCTTGCAACCCTTACAACTTCCGAGCATTATTTATTAATACCACTACATTTGAGTGATAATTCTTAGAGCCACTGCTGCTGTCTTACATTCATTCTCATGAGTCATGAGTATACCTACTAATATATACTTGAGTTTGGTAACCTGGGCTGATAGACGTAAGGAGTGATTACTTGTCATACTGATACAGACATGATTGTATCCGTTAGATAACCTTTCTACACGATGGATGAGTTTAAAATCACACAATTCTTCCAATCTATCTTAGGTGGATTATTTATACACCAAAATGGTTTTAAAGCCTAATTTTAATCCAACAAGATATTTCTGGAACCTCGAGATTTGTAACCGTGACTGGCAAATGGTAAGTGTAAGGAGCGATGACTTGCTATACTTACGGGCTACGATGAATGAGTCTCCAGATAAAAAATAGTACAGAAAGTCCAGGTTTGTAATATGAAATCAAGAAATACACGAGATATACACAGCAGTGCATGTCACACAACCACGCGATGCACTAATACTAAAACTGAATACTTTATTAAGTTGTGACTTTTACATAACTATAGGTATTCGTTTCTAATTTGTATACATTTATTTTTATTTTTTTCGTGTTTTCGTAATCGACAATTTTAAAACTAAGTGCCTGTTAAAGTGCGTTTATTCCCTTATTTCTTTACACTAGTAATTGATACTAAATTTTATTAATATATCTTTTTTCTCGTTTCAATAATAATTATTAATTAGATAATTATGAAAACTAAAATAATAATAATTTATTTTTGAAAATTCAACTTTATACATTTAAATTATAATATAAAACATGCAAAAATATACAAAATAAAAGTACATACATTTTAAAATCTTCATGCTATCGTCAAATTAAAATGTTCTAATTTGATACTTATTATTAATCCAATTATTAAATTTGTAGATTCTACCACTAAGAATTATTTTAATCAATACTTTATTTTCTTTTTTTTCCATTCTATTTTGATATTAATTTCTGTGTTAATTGTTATAATTATAACAGTTTTGTATATTGAACTCGACCCGTTGAAATAAACAAATATACAACTGTAGTTTAAAATTTAAAATGTTTTTACAAATAATATTAGTGCATCTTCCATTTTTTTTAAATTTAGGTAAATTAAACAACTAAGGTACTGATTTGGAAAATGTTACTTAGTTGAAATCAATAGTTTAAAATTTAAAATATATATTATAGTTGTATAATATTAACATTGGATGATATTATATAATTATATAATTATAAATACATTTATCATAAAAAAATCCTTTTAAATATCAAGTATAGGTTATAAACTGTAATTTTGGAGCACAACAAATTTATAGCTGTTTTGAAAATGCACAAGTCACTAAGGAGACAACATAAACTTTACTGAAGATCAAAATAAATAATTTTCAGTTTCTATTGATTATTATTTTTAAAGTTAAATAATAATTGTGAGATGGCTGCTGTTGCTTCTACAATAATAAAAGAAAAAAAAAATAATAACTACATGAGTTTCCCACAATCCAAAGTCCTTATTATTTTATACTATTTTATTGTTAGAGGAAGCTTAGCCCCACCAAAATTACTCATAATCCCTTCAAGATAATTTAATCTTCAAACTTACAATATTAATTCAAAATGAATAATTAGTAATAATAAATACTGCTAAGTAAATATCTAGACATATTCAACACCAATATCAATAATATTGAAGCAATAGACATAACTTCATGATTTAAAATATTTTTATTTGCTAATTATTGTTCTATAAGAGTTTTATATTTTATTGTATTGATTTATTTCACCATGGATAAGTCTAATAATAGGCCTTATTCAATAACAATTTAAAGTGTAGTAAGTACTTATATTTTTGATTATTTGGTGAGTAAATGATAATTTATTTGATTTAGTTTTTTTTTAAATAAACTTGAAATAAGTCTTGGTAGTAATAATTATATTACTAATTGTTTAACTCATTTATAATAATAAAAGAACAATGGAACAAAAGTAAAAAATATTTTTATTTTTTTTCATAAAAACAAGTAATGAATAGTTGTAACATAATTTAAAATAGAGTCATAGCTCAAATGAGCTAATTTTTATGAACATTTTTAGAGAGGTTTTAGACCTCTCCCAAGAACTTTAGCTACTTATTTCTACTCAAGCTGTATCACAATAATTATCAGTCACATTCAAGTATAGTTTTAATGTAAAATTGTCATATTTCTATGAAACACAGTGAGTACCAATATTGATTGTTCAAAAACTAACAAAACATTGTATACCTTATTTATTACATATTGCTGAAATATTTAATATCTCTCCATGAATACAATTATAATTAATAAATGAGTTGTTTATATTTAGAAAAAGTAAACAAATAATTTTAAATGTTTAATGATTTGTCAACTTTATTTGGTAAACATAGGCATGCGTGCGCTCAAAAACAATCTACAATGTTTACATAATTGATTATTAGTACTTACTACATTGCTCAATTTCATCATCTTTATCAGAATCATGTTTATTCGTCGAAGACATATTGTTAAAAACCAATCATACGACGGAACAAACCATAACTGAATGTAATACATTGTTGATCATGTTATGTGTCGTTTGAGTTCAACATGATCAATCAAATTGCTGATAATCATTTTCAGTATAATGAATTGAAATATAATTAAAATGAGTTCAAAAATAACTAGTTAAAGATAAGTATGTGTTGAAATGACACTTTAACAAGGTAAAATTACTACACTTACCATGACTGATTATGCTTAAACACTGAATGGTGACTGTTTACTTGAACCAACTTGATACAAAAATTATATTGTTCCATCATAAATCAGTGATTTTGTACAGATATTCATTATTTGTATGCTACCACTAATGTTATTAAATCTTAATTCAGAACTTAATATATGAAAAGATGTGAAATTACTGAAATTTGTTGGCGTTTAAAAACTTTTTATCATATCATTATCACAATATCATATAATATTGTTTTTGAAACCACGGTATGAGAAGCACAGAAAGTTTTAGATATCAATACACCTTGATTTTAAAAATTTTGTTATCAAATGTTATCAATTTATCATGTATACACTATACAGTAAAGTTGTATGTACGCTATTCGGCATACGGTATGTACATGTAGATAGGTTTAAAATATGTTCATAGTTAAAAAATGTGAATAAAGAAATTGTTTACAGAATAAATAATAATTTTAAGTATTATTAATTTGTGTTTTCTAAATAATTTTAATTTTATATTTTACACTAGCATTTGTTTTTATAAATGTTTCTAATCAATAATTACCAAAGTACATAATATATACATTATCTCAAATTTTTATTCTTCTTATTATAAATTTAATTTGTTGAGATTAAGTTTGAAATTTAAGCTATTGATGCCGAACAAAGACATTTTTTATTCTTCTGATCCCGTTTCATCAGGTAACAAATAGTTGTTGTATATTACTATCGTACTTAAAATATATTAACCTAGAACTGTATTATTGTACAATGTATAGACTATTTTAAATGGTACCTATTCTTATTCTTTTATAATTTAAATAACAGTTGACTAATTAAAAATATACTATTTCAATACATAATAACAGTATTACATAGATTACTAGTAATTGTCATCATATTTAAAATGTTATAAACCACATAAATAATATTAATTATGATCTATTATTAACAGTTGGTTGAAAATATTTTATTTAAGAATTTAATATTTTATGAGAATATATAAGTATTGAATATTTAATTGGTATATCAGTAACAATATTTTAGTAGCTATTAAATTATTTTATATCATAGCCTCTAATAGTTTGTAAGAAAATGTCCCAACAATTTTATTTTATATAAGTTTTTACCACCACTTTTACATAATTTCATAATGTTAAACATTTTTATTGGTTTGTAACTAAACCATATATATATTGGTTTTATGATTAAATTAATTTAATTTTAAGCATCTAGTTTCTAGTATGTGGGAAGACTGCTCTCATAAGTCGATGGAGCAAAATTTATTATACCATTAAATTTACATCTAATATAGTTTTATAGCGATTGTTGGACGTTAGTTCTCCATACAATTTGGAAATTAAAGAATAATTCAATGTCTCCAAATCGTATATAAAAAGAATTTAAAAATTGTTTTACAATAAAAAATGTATTGTCCTCTATTTAGTTTTATTATTTAATTTAAAAGTTATACAAGTAAAAATATTTTATTTCTGATTATAAATAATTTTGTTGGTCAGTTTTATATTATTATTAATAAAAAAAAAAACTTATAAAGGTTATTGAATTTATTGTCCATAGTAAAGTATCTATATAGGTGTGATTTTCTTGGATAGATAATTTTATTAATTAATAATTTAACATTGATTATAATTTTTAGCATTTTTTCATAAAAATGACAAACTTTTTTAATATTAAAAAATAAAAGCAATTGATCTATCTTATTATACGTTTATTTCAAATTCGTGTTTTAGATTAATTAATTATTACCTTTATACAGCATAGACATATTATAATGATTAACAGTTGATATTAAAAAACGTTTCGCAAAAAATACATAGTTATCAATTATTTAGTGGCTACACTGAACGAAATCAACGTACCTATGAAGTTTTTAAAACGTAAAAAATTTTAGACCATGTTTTATGGTAGCCGGCACGTAATGTATAGCTACTGTTAGCAGTTTTAATATTTATTTTTAATAAATAAAAAATAGTAATAAATATATAAAATACTTCAGAATTTTTTTTTTTACGATAAAAACTATGCATTTAAAATAACGATAATGTTTTTGTTATTGACAAATGAATAATCATTTATATAAATATATTATTGTTTTATTTTAAATTAATATAAGTCATGTCAATATTAGATCCTACCGATATTTCTACTTTACCTTGGTATTATGACGAATTTGGTAAGTATTTTATTTTTATTTTTATTAGGAATGTACAACATAAACCTTAGTTGGACAATGGTAAAGATTTACAATTTTTTTCACTTATAAATATTTCCGTCGAACTAAATAATATTTGATATTTATAATTATTGTAGTTCTAAGAATTATTTGATTTGCTGTCCAATTATATCTCAAGTATAGAGATAGATTTATAAATGTCGAATACATTTCATGAAGCGGTTTATTTTTAGTTTACTTCAGTACATATATAATATTGAAGTAATTTTCATACTACATAAAAATATAGAATTATTGAATATTTAACAATACTTTCATAATATATAATACATTCTGCAATAGTATTTTTTGTTTATGATATTCATATTTCTACAGATTATATAATTTTAATTTAACATTAAACATATTGTTCAAGAAATTACTGACGTACAATATTATTAAAATCGCGAAGTTCGATATTTTAATATTAGTATTTTTTGTTTAAGGATTATAAATTATAATAGTCGTTTATTTGTGTAAGTAATAATTATATACGTCGATAAATGATTGGTAATATTCAGTTTTTAAATTAAAAGTAAAAAATTGCCGCCCATTAACTTCCGAATTTAGTGATAGTATACTGTGTAGTAGAATTATTATATTAATAATTGCAGTGTTCCTCATGCTAGTACAAGGATTTATATAGGATCATTGACCTTCTTACATGGATATTATCTCGAGTTCAAGGACATTACTTGTTATGTTTTTACTACACATTTTAATTTTTTTTTCCATGGGTTTGCAATAAAAAAATGTCCTAAACTAATGTATTTTATTCTACGTTTTTTAAATTTAATTTAATATAAAAATAATAAATAATTGGATTCACCTAGCTTTATGTGTGTTGTATATCAGGTATATTAATAAATTATACCTAGGTATTTATATCATGCGATTTATTGTGTTTAATTTTTATAGTAATTAAATTAATTGAATAATTTTTATATAAAATTTAAAAATTAAATATGTATTAATTATTAATATATTAATTAAATGCACGTTTAAATTAATAATAATTTTTTATTAGTAAACAATAAATGATTGATGTTTCTATATTATAAAATATAAATGCAACTTTTATTTTTGAAATTGTAGATTCTATTTTTTAAAATCTATTATATATTAAATATATTAAATATTTTTCATTTAAATTTAAGTAAGGAGTTCATAAATAATTTTGTATTTTTAATTTTTAATTGTAAAAATTTGAACTTAAGTTTTAAAAAAAAAAATTTTTCTGTGTATTTTTTATATTTTATATGTTAATTATAAAAATCATACATGAAAAATCTTGTAATCAATTTTTGAAGTTTTTAAAATAAAATTTTTTAACAGCTTCAAAAAAAGACATTTACTTTTATATATGTTAGTGGATATTAGAAACTATCTGTTGTTTCTCATTGAATTAAAACAACAACTGGTGTTCTGTAAATATCCTATTTCCCGCTATTTTGTTAATAGTTCTTTACAGTTTTACACAATTATTTTTAAACTATACTTTAGAAAGCATATATGAAGTTAAAAGATTTTAAAGATTTTTTTTTTGTATTTCAAAATATATAATATAATAATGTGTAAAAATAAAAAATAATGAGGATATTCTATGGCTATATAGTAGGTGTCAATATACTTATTAAATTTGAATTTAATGGTTAGTCATTTCAAAACGATCTGTCAGATTATATTACCAAGTATATTTTATAATATAATTATATTTCTAACAAAGTAATTTATTTTACCTACTATTAGTAATAAAGAAAGTTGAATTAATTTTTGCCAGACACATTTCATTTGTTAAATTATTAAGATTTAACTATTATAATAGTGTATATTAAATATATTATACAATATTGTTATTAATTTTGAAGTCAATACCGAGTACTAACTTACTGTAAAAGGGTGTGAATAGATATGTCATATAAATAGGCAATATCATAAAATTAAATCTTTTAAAAATGTAATTGTATTTCATTAAAATATAAGTACAACAGTAAAAGTTTTAAGTCTCCACAACAAATATATTTAAAACAACAAAGTAATTAAAAGTTGCAATTCTTTTTTAAATATCTGATTTTGTTCAAAATTTAAATTTAAATTTATGTAAAAAAAAAAAAAATATCTTAAATTTAAAAGATATCAAAATGTAATAAAAATTAATTAGTATATAAAATAAGAAAACCACTTTGTTATGTCATTTTTTGACTATTTTTTTAAATCTATTTAATATTTGTTGGTTTATAATTGTTAATGAACTGTCAACTTATAGACAATATTATTGATAATAACTAAATAATAACCTACTCAATGAAATAATTATGTTATAAACTAAAAGCATACATAAAATTAAAAATTGTATTTATATATTTTTTTTTAGGAATGATGGATGTATTAGTTGAACCTAAGGATAAACTTTTTGAAGTAAGCTTGTATAAGTTAAAATTAATCAGTAAATAATTTTTCCTAATAATATCAAATTTTAATTTATAAAATTATTCATATATATTATATATATAGATTGATTCTCTTAGTATGTCCATTTATTTTATTTATTCAATAATGCAGTTATTTAAAAACTATTTTTTGGTATTTTTGAATATGCTTTAAGACTAAATTTTCAAATACTTAAGATTTTTTTATATTATTTAAGAAGTATTCTAGGATACACAAACTTCTGTTTTTCAGATGACAACCCCCTTTATACAATAAATCATTTAACAAACAATTTTTCTGAAAATGTTGATCAAAATTAAAATTTTAAATGATTAGTTTTTGAGTTATTTAACTTTGTATATTAAAAATATTTTATAGGTTTTACGATAATGGGTTTAGAAGATATGAAGGCTGTGCTAATTTTAAAATTTTAATAATTTATATTAATATATCAATATTTTTAATTTGTAAAAGTGATCCAAATATCATATCTGTTATAATATATTTTTCATATATTTTTAAAACCATTTTAAAGGATTTTCTTTATAATAAACATTTTAATAATTGAAAAAGTACTTATTTAAATTTAATTTAGGTGAATTAATTATTTTTGAACAACAGTAAATAAGTGAGAAGGATTCTCTTTTGAAAAATAGAAGTTTTTCCTGCCACTTAACATTCCTTAAGTTGTATCAAAAATCTCAAAAATTTGAAAACATAGTTTTTAAGAATATTTAAATTTTCTATGTATCAGAATTTGAATAAATTTATTATTAAATTAAAAATAGGGAATCATGCTTGGTGAATAACTCTATATATTTAATTTATAATCATCAGTTAATACTTAATAAACATTATTTTTTTTCTTGCGCCATTGATAAATTTTTAATTAATATGTCTTTTTCCCATTTCAGTTTGATGAGCTTAAAATGGAACCATTGTCACCTTATTTTGGTGATGATATCAAATTTAATACAGGAGTTAGTGATTTAGATAGTGATTATATGATGCAATGGAATATTGAATCATGTTTAGGAAATGGTAATATTGTTTCAGTTATACTTTTATTTTTAGAATAATTGGTTTTTATATTTTAGGTATTGATTTGGAAAAAGATTCATTCAAATCATCACCTCCATCATCTCCTTCTAATGAGTCAATGCCAAGTGGTGATTCACAATCATCATTTGATTCAAACCAAGTATTTGCTAAAATATATTTTTATATCTAAGTGTATTTATCATAATTATTTTTTTATTTTTGTTTTTGTTTAAAAAGATATTACCAAAGATATTATCATCAAATATGAAAAATATAAATGCAATTTGTGATACTAATACAGTATTTGCTATAAAATCTATGAATGGAAGTAAAACATTTCCGAAACTGAAAATTTCTCCAGCTCCAATTAAACCAAGTTTTAATGCAGCTTCTAGAACTAATAATAATTGTAAATTATATTCAGATAAATTATTTTTAAAAACAATTTTTAATGGTGTTTCTAATTTTTATTTTATTACATTTATTAGTCAATGTTTCTTCAATGCTCACTGATCAAACTAATCAATCTCCAGTCACAATTTCAAAATCATTTGGTAATAATTAGTATTATATGTTATAATAATTTTATTAAAACAATAAATCCCCTGAAATTTAGTCTCCAAATTAAAGGATAATTATAGGAAATTTTTAATAATTTTTTAATAAACCATTTCAGAATAAGTAAAATATTCATTTTTTTACCTTGTTAAACCTTATTGATATCACAAGGTAAATAAAAAAGTATGTTTTTTTTATTTGGAGGTTAAATTATATTTTTTGATTTCACTTATATCATGAAATATTGATAAACACTTGGTGACTAAATGTCAGATGTATAATAAAAACATAATTCATATGTTTTCAATATACTAGATTTTTAAATTTTTAGCATCAACTCTTCCGCGAAAGATTATATTAACTCAAGATCAATTTTCAAAAATAACTAAATTGCAAAAACAAAAACAAATAGATTTAAATATACCAACTGCAACACCATTAGTATCAAGTACATCAGAAGTTAATACTCAATTGACATTGCCAGTTGTTGAAATTGATTCAGCAAAGTCTAAAAATTCTACTACCACTTTACAATATAATCAAGTAAAACATATATTATTAAAATAAACAAAGTATATTTGTTGTATTATTTTTTTATATTATATTAGTTAAGTGCAATAAAACGACATCAACGTATGATACGAAATCGAGAAGCAGCAAGCTTATCTCGTAAAAAGAAAAAAGAATATGTAACATCATTAGAAGAAAAAATATGTGTATTGGAAAAAGAAAATCTGGAACTAAAAATTGTTAGTCAATTAAAATAAATTTTCAAATATTAATAATTTATTTTACTAAAATAATATATTTTTTTATTTAGGAAAATTCAGCATTGAAAGAAAGGCTCAAAATTTTTGACAAATTATCTTCAATAACAGATAGACCTTTTATCAAAAAAGCCAAAAAAGCTACAGTTATATTATCAGTAGTTTTAATGATTTCTTTAAATATTGTACCTTCGGGGTAATAACTGATAAATTATAATAAATATTCATATTTTTAACTGAAATAATTTTACTCTTAGGATTTTTAATATAAGGCAATTTGACAAATCAGAAATGCAAATAAACCTTGGAGATAATTATAATACAAAAAATGTTGAAAACATAAACTTTCATAGTAGAAATCTATTATGGGTCAATGACTTTGAAGACAGTAATTCGTCATTGAATGCTACTGAACATTTGATGTGTCCAACATTTATAAATGTATCTGAATCAAAAAGGTTAGTAAACTTATTTTAATTAAATAGATTATATTGGGTATTTTTTCCAATTTTTAAGTCTTATATTTGTGTGTTGTATAATTTTATTGTTGGTTACCTACTTGGTAAAATTATTTAATATATAGCATAAAAATAATCATATTAATTTAAAGAGATTTTTAAATTTATTTATTTTTTGTAGTATTTATGATGTACATTAATCTAAATGAAAAACAAAATTATCAACTGTTCTTATATTTAGAATTGATAGCGAACTTCGAAAATGGATTGAACCAAAGAATTTAAAGTTGTTGAATGACAACTTATCTATGGTTTATGTTGAACCTCCAATTATAAGTACTACTATTGAACATTCTAAACACAATGAATATATCAGAAATAAAGTCAAAAAAATGGAAAGATCTCAAAAAAGAAATTTTAAGTGAGTGCATTACATCTTAAGTAAATTAAACAAAAATAATATTCCTTATAAATGTATTTTTTTTTCTTAATATTTAACTCAGAAAAAGAAAGCATGTTCCATCTAACAATGATTTCATAGAAATATTTGGCCAGTTGAAGTTAGATAGTAAAGAAAGTTTATTCGATTCTATTGAAAGGCAAGATGATACTTTCTATGTTGTATCTTTTTCTGGTGATCATTTGTTATTACCAGCTAGTCATAATGCTTCTAATACTACCCTTCGACCAAAGATGTCACTTGTTTTTCCAACTCTATCATCAAATGGTAAGAATTAATATATTAAATTTTACAATATTATAATAGATTCTATAAACACACTGACGTATCTTAAACATAAATATTAATTAAGTACTTGCATTTAAATTTTTTATAGGTTCGGATTTTGTCACTATGATTCAAATTGATTGTGCTGTAACTGATACAAAAACATTACATATTCGAGATACTCACTTAAGACATAATGATTTTAAAAATAATGGTTCTTCCAACTTAAAACAGCACAATGGTATTACATTATTTTATTTATATAAAATAATTATACTAAACATGGATTTTTTATTTAATAGTGTGTTTATGAAACTAAACATTTTTTTAAATATTTTTATAGATCATAGAAACAATATAGCACACAAGCCCTATTTTATACGACAAAGTTACTCTGGTTCAATGTTTAGCAAAATGAACCATGAACTTCCAAGTTACTAACATTGCAATGTATTTCAAAATCAGAAATCATATCTCAACCATTTTTTCTTATATTTGAATGCATTTTTTTCTTCTTAAGCATAAATAAACCATATACTAATAATATGAATTGTTATGTTTACAAATTCCTACAAAAAGTGGCATTCAGTTAGAAAGTTAAGCTACTAATATATGATTTAATTTACTTATTTTTAGATATGTACTTTATTCATAATTTAGCATATTATATATACAGTAAAATATAAAATATAATTTTAGTATGTAATTTAAATTTAATATTATAATAGACTTTTTTGTTGATATTCTTCAAACTTTTTTTATAGACAATTTATTATTATATATAGGTAATTAAGTTATAATAACACAAGTTTTTTTCATTAGAAATTTTCATTTTAATTGTTTCATCTTAAAAATTAATACTCATTAATGTTCTTGTCAAAGTCTTCTGAATGTTTTAAAATTGTTATAATAGAATTTTATTGTATTGTAATCTGAGTTATCTAGATTGGCAATTTACAAAAATAATAATATTAGAAACTTCAAATTTTGTAGGTTTTTTAGTAGTCTGAACTCTATTTAAAATTAGGTTTTATATTTAATGATTGTTGCTTTTATACTTTTTCATTAATCATTCCTATCAGTATTTATAAAGGAACTGTTATATATGTACGATAAATTACCTTTTATTAGTTTTATGAAACTCAAAGATTTTAATTATATCTTTCAACTATTGATTGGAATATTTATTTAAATTCTAATTTGAGTTATTAAGACTACTGTATTATTATATAGTTTAGGCAAATATAACAATAAACTAGTAACTACTGATAATAGTTATTATTTTGTATTTAAATCATCTAATTTGAATGATCTACATAGATTTGTGGTAAATATATTCATTGATATATTGACTATTATCATTGTAAATCGATATTATTTATTTTGATTCTATATTTTACATTTATACTATACTAAAAATAAAATGTATTAAAAAGCATTAAATTTTAGATTGGTTTGTAATTTTATAATATTTCTAGGTTTTATAAGATATAACTAAAAACAAACAATAATTTACTATAAATTAATTTGATATTATTTGATATTATATTTGATATTAACTCATATTTATAAATATTTTATGATCAAAAATATATAGTGGTATTCGAGGTTGTTTTATTTAGATTTTTTTATTTTATATTTTAATTTATGTTAAAACAATTTGTTTATGTATTTCTTTAATAGTTCCTTAAAAAAAAAATGAAGTAGATTTATTTATTTGTTTTGATTATAAATGAAATTCAGCTTTATTTATTAATGTATTATAATTTATTTTCCTTTTTAAATGTTATAAAATAGGTAATGTAATATTAGTGTGATTTTTGTTTTGTATGTCTTTTAAACTAATAAATGGAACACATTTATAAATATTGTTTTAATGAATATTTATTCATTTTTTAATTAGTGCATTTACTTATTCAATTGCATTTATCATGAAATAAAAATATTTTAGTACAAAGACAATAGTTTAAGACAAATAATAAAAAATAAGATGAACTTTTTTATAAGATACAATTTAAAAAAAAAATAGTTAAATTTATAATTTTCCTTCACCGTGGTATTAAAATAGAGAAATGAAACCTATTTATTTTGAATTTAAAAAAAATATCCAACCATAATTTTTGCCTATGATTTAGTTTAGGTACATAATTATAATGAAGATTTAGGGAATATTACATTCTATTGAAATAAAAGCATTTTATTATTCCATATTTCCATATAATTATTTTAAGGGATATATGTTGATTTTAACACCTTATCCTACAAGTAACTTGTATAATCAGAATAATGTACTTGACATGTCTATAAAATAATCGTCTTTTGGATAATTTTAGGATAGATTATGAAGGACATGTATTAAATTTTCAAACAATTTGACTGATTGCGTTAACATTGTAAAAAAAAAAATGAACGAATGGATAACATTTGATAATTTAATGTAAGGTTCTTATAATAAGTTGTTCATTTACAAATTATAAAATATCGAAAATTAATAGTCACGTTTTTTTATAAGTATTTCAAGTTAAATTCTCCAAGAAATTCGTAAAAATTTATAAATTATGTTAAAATTAGAAATTTATAAAAATGTCTTTTTAAATCTATGCTTAGAACATTAAATACATAAGTCCTCTTCGTAGGTTTTTCTGCCTGCAAAAAAAAAAAGTTTATTGAAATGTCAAATTAATTTTTTATGACTAAAGTTTAAGCTTTTACGATATTAGATACTCACAAGTATAATAATTATTTTTCATCTTTTATCAAACAATTAGTATTTCTTAATACTATTTTCATTAAAATGTTGATGTTCACATTTCCTACACATTTTCGTTTTTAGCTATTTAAAGGTATGAGAAATGTTTTATTTTTTCCTCTATAAATATCGATAAAAAAAATTACTGGGCTAATAAAAAGGTACTTTTTAATTATCGCGACTACTGACAATTTTCAGGTACCTATCGCACTATCGTCATTCGATTATCGCAACTACTTATGTGGCTATGTACCTTTATTTATACGTTATTATGTAGGTTTTTCCGTAGAAATGGAATTTCTATTTTCGTTACATTCCATTTCTACGAAAGACCCACGCACTAAAATATATTCGATAGAATATATTATATTATCATTATCACAATTCACTATATTCATTATTCAGTATTTACTTTATAATGTTTAACTTCGTGGAGTGCTAGATAGTGTCAAAAATAAGACTATTTTACTTTTACACTGTTATTTAATTTTTACTTATATTGATTATTACTAGGCCCGGAATTATATGTATTTGCATATTGCTATTAATAAATGTTAAGTTGAAAAAATAGCCAAAAGATACAAATTCGAATCTGAGTCTCATGAATTAATGGGTGAAATTTGATTTCGTATACTTTTGAATATTTGGTGAATTTCTAATTATCGTGCATAATTTGGCGTTTTTCGAAAATATAATGCATATATTAAAATAAAAATGGAATTAAATTAATATTACTTAACACTATGGTCTATGTTCTACTTAAATACCGCGAATGTGAAAAGAAAAAAAATCATGTAATATAATACAACTATTACAGCTACATGAATTTTCCTCGCAAATGATCCACATAACTATCTATAGCTTATGGACTACATCGGATACCATGAAAAATCTTCAAAAATCCCTTCTCTTTTTTCAAAAATTGAGGAACTATAATCGCAAACACGAAAAAAAGTAAAAACCTGCACGTGTTGAAGTGTTTAAAAATGCAAAGCTGGGATTTTCTGACAAACGAGAAAGAAACCGTTACTATTTATTCTGGTTGTTGGCATGGTTATAAAACAAAAAATTAAAAAGACTGGTTTCAATCATCAGTTATTCACATACCTACCTATACGGCTATACAATTTTATAGATCTAACAACGGGTGCTTATACATAGAATATTAAACGGTTTTGGAGATCAGTTAAATGGCAAAACCAACAATTTAGTGGAGCATCTCGTCAGTATCTCAATAATTATTCGATTGAGTTGATGTGATGTCAAGCTCTTTAAACAGACCATCCTTCCGTCGAAATACTACTAACCAAAATATCTCGACATATTTCACCTCATGTAAATTATTTATCAATTATATCAAATTGTATTTTTTTTTTTTTTATATTGAAATCAATATTATGTTATATCTATTTAAAATTTTTAATTATCGTCGGTAGTCGCGATAACCAAAAAGTACTTTATTTTTTAATTATGGGCACCATCTTTATGTCTTATGATTCTTACATACACATATGACTATTATGAGTATAATAATATGTAGGTTGTAGGTATCTAAAATCGAGATATATGCTATTAAATACACCGAAACTCAAAAAAAAAAATTATTATTTTAAATTTATATTTTCTGTAATATTAAAATATTATTATAACTTTTAGAAACGTTGAAATATGCATTTATATGCAATATTATTTTTTTTTTTAATTTTGTTATACTTTTTTTTTTATTTTAATAAAATATAAATTTTGGTATAATGTTAAGTAAATTAAGTTTTTATTGCTAAAAATGTTTTAATGCGGGTCTTTTTCATTTTTTTATCTTAATTTGTCATTTCTTAAGTCAACTAAATTTCGTCTTGTCGATAGTCTCCAATAAAGGCAATACCTAATATGTTACCAACTATCCTTTTTTTATCCTGGTACAAATTTTTAAATCTAATAAAGATGGTTAGAAGATTAGTTTTAAGGGACATCCTTATTATTTATATTGTTAAGTCTAGAGTTAAAATAATTTTACTTGGATATATTCGACAAAAAAATATAACTTGTGTTTAATTGTCATTATTATTAATACAATAATACCTTTATATTTAATATTAGATATTTTTTTATGTTAATTTTTTTTTTTAATTTTAAAATTTAATTTAATTTAAAGTTTTTGTTCTTTTTTACCGATTACCATGCACAGTTTGTGTACAACATTTATCACCGACCACGCTTATAGGAAGATATTTTGAGTCTTTGAGATCATAAAAAAGTACATCAAGATCCGAGATAATGTCATATACTCATATTCATAAAAAAATTAGATATATAGTAATTATGTATTTAAGTAAATATGTTAGTAATATGTCATAATAAACATTGTTGTGCATATTATATTTGTGTCATGGATTAAACTACATTAGTACATTACATCTAAGACTAAGTTAGTATAATATAAATTATAATATAACGTAATGTATGTTACAGTTGTTACAAACATGAAGTATCTTATCATATTATAATCCCAGAAAAAAAAACAACAGTAATTATTATTCCTGTCGTATCACAGCTGAATGAATATTATTGGGATTTTTACTTTTCCAAGTTGGCAGTTTTGAATTTGAAAAATTAAATTAATTTATTTTTTTCTTATCACTTCGAAAAAATTGTGGGGTATCACCATATTCACCATATCAATTCAATAATATATATAATATTTTATGTTACGACTCAGAGAGAAATAAAGCACTGCTATTTACTAATAATACTTTAAAGGTACCTAGTAAGTAGCAATTATTACACATTTATATTATTATTGATGGTATCCAATTATTCCAGTCGTTTTGTATAATTAATACATACTCATAGTTCGTCGTAAAAAGAAATGATGCCAGATGACAATCCTGCAAACGACCAAAGGATTTCTTTATTTTTAAGGAAACTTTGGACATTGGTCTGCAGTAAAGAAACCGATAATGTGATTACATGGAGTGAGGTAAATTTACAAATTTTGATTTATTTTTCTATATTATTTTTGGGTAGATACCTTTTATAAAACTTAATATTTTATCCTAAAAGGCATCCCTGCAGTTAAAACTTATATTATAACATGTTATGAATGCTTGTATATTTTTTTTATTTTTTAGGAAGGTGACAGTTTTATTATACATAATCCTGTAGAATTCTGTAAGGTCCTACCAAGATATTTCAAACATAATAACTTTATGAGTTTCGTACGGCAGTTACATATATGTAAGTTAAATTTATTATTATTATTATTAGTACCTAATAAGTTTGAAGTGAAATAAATTCAGTGTGGCAGTTATAATGCTAACATTAATAATGATTTGTCATCTAGTTACTGTATTAAAAGAATTATTGAATAATATAGCTACAAAAGTAACAGTTTTATCCAAACGTCAAGTTAAAATTTGAAGTATCTATTATTATCTTAATTAGTCATATATACCCTATATCATTTAAGAGTAACTTAAGAAAGAAACCCATTTTTTTATACATAATTTTCATTTTGACGATCGCCTCATGTTAAGCTATGAAATGCAAGTTATGTGGTTGTTGAAATAATAAAGTGACACATCCTAGAGTGTGGCACTATATATATATTGACTGTATCCATTATTGCAACCTTGTGTTAGAGTCTACTATCTGAGGTTACTTTAATATGTTATAATATAGAGCTAGTATAAGTATACAACTTAGTAAAATACTTTTTAAAAATTGATTTTTTATAACAAATTTATTATTATTTTTGAATTTCCTTTTAATTAATGTGATAAGATTTCAAAATAATAAGCTTCCAATTTTTAATTAACATAAAGAATTGTAAAAATATTTATGCCATTCATTCTTTAAAGTATAGTAATGTATTATTTTATATTTTAGATGGTTTTAGTAAAAGAATATCTGATGTTGATCACACATCTAATCATGGAACATCTTGTGAATATGCTCATCCATATTTTATGAAAGAACATCCTTGTTTATTGTTATCAATTAAGCAAAAGAGAGGGGAAAAATTGGTGAGTAAACTTTATACACAATTTATTACTTATAAACATAAAATGTTAAATGTATTTATTTTTTCATTAATTGTTCAAATAGCATCAAGGCATAAAAACCGATATTGATTCAATTGAAACAATAAGTACACTGTTAAAAGAAGTAAACTCAGTTAAAGATAAAAATAAGATGCTTGATTCCAAATTCACAGCTATGAAACATGAAAATGAATGTTTGTGGCGTGAATTAGCAGTTATTCGACAAAAGCATATGAAACAACAAAGAATTCTCAATCAGGTTTGAATTGAATTAGACAAATAGTTTAAATATTAGTTAATAAGTGTGTTATTTTATTAGATATTTTACTTATAATATTATGTAAAAATTTAAAAGTTACGATAATATTTTACTTTTTTTACTTTTTAACAGAGAAAAAAAAATGACATATAACTATGATAAGTACAATATTATATACATATATATACTTAATATGATGATTATAATAATTGTTCCTCATTTTTTCAGTTATGTTTAAAATAATAGTCAAATACTTTTTTATAAAATCAATGACTACTTTTTTTTTGTATTAACAATGTGTCAAAGACTAATTCAATAAAACAAACAAATAAAAATTTAGAATATTTATGTTATTTTATACAATTATAGTATTATTTATATATATGTATAATAAAACTTCTAACAAACACTTCTAAATAGTACATAGTAAACTATTATATTAATATATAGAAGTTAATTAATATGCAATTAAATGTTTAAATTTGAAGTTGTATCCATCAAAATTAATATTAGTCACTTAGTATTACTATATAAACTTAAATAATTTTAATATATTTTCATGATTTTTTTTTAACGTCTTATTAGCAATTAAAATTATTATTTGCATTAATTGTATTTTTAATACAAATATTTTAAATTTCAGTTAATCCAATTTTTAGTTACCTTAAGACAACCTAGTACTAATAATACACTGTGCCGAGAAGTAAAAAATAATGTCAGATATGTTCTCCCTATTATGCATCATAAGGCATCAGAAAAAGCAAATTCTGGAGAAACATTTACTGTAAGTTTCCATGATTTTTTTTTCTATATATAAATGAAAGTTCTTGTTTTATATCTATAAAATATATTTTATTATTTAAAGAATCCAAAGTATAAACCATCTACATCATCAGGACCTGTTATTCATGAATTAGATGCTGCTGATATTCTTAACTCTAACGAAAATGTTAGAACTCAAAGAGAAATTTTTAAGTAATTTTTTCAAGTCATTATAAAAAATAAAATTTGTCTCAATAAATATACTATTATTATTTTGTTTCTTATAGTGAAGCAGTAGAGCCAGAAGGTGTAGTACTTAGTCCTAGTAGTGTCTCGCAAATGTTAAGTAGTCCTGGTGGTTCAACAATTGAAGAAATATTTGCACCAAATGATATTATAATGAACTCACCTTTAGACGACTTGATCAGAGAAGTGTCAGTATCCCCTACTGAAGAATTATTAGAACCAAAAACAACTATTGTAACTGTTCCTTCATCTAACCCAGTTACAAAAACAACTAAAACCAGTAATAAAACATCTTTAAAAAGGACAAAAAAAGATATTAATCCTTCAAAGAAAAAAAAGACAACTATTGCTGATAATGTTCAAAACCAAAATCCTACACCTTCAGCAGTACCATATGTTATTAAAGTAGAACCAATGGGAGATGATCCACCAGTAATTTCTATTCCTGACACAGATTTCATTGAACCTGAAGTGTAAGTTTAAATTTATATATAATAACTATTGGTTATTTTTTGTTAATATTATAGTAAAATACTCATAATAATTAGGATCTGATATATTTTGTTGAGTGACTTTGTAATGATACTTTCTAATTATTTATTTATGTTTGTATTTATAAGTTATATAACTTAAAATTTAAAATATTTAAAATATGATTTTATTCCTAATACTTTATTGTCACAAACTTTTTTCATGATTTTTCTCAGGATGATCCTTATTTTATTATATCTACTTTAACAGACTTATTTTCAGTAAGACCTATTTTAAATGCTTTCCCTGATTAATCATAAGTTTTTTGTAATGAATGAATTTATATTTTCATTAAATATTATGGATACAATTTGATTATTGTATACTGAAATATTTAGTTGTACCTTTTTTTATATTTTTATTTTGTTTTAGAACTATTTCTAATAATGATGATGATCTATGGAAAAATGAAATAACTTCAAATTCTGATAATATGCAGCTTGCTAATCCAGAACCTAGGCAAGTTAATGAGTGTGACGGGAGCAGTTCTGTATCACCAAATTTTCTTAACAATGTTATACAAAAGTATGATGTTGCCTTATTACTATTATTTTGTTTTGGATGGTGATTAATGGTGTTTTAACATTTATCACATTTTATTAAATCTTCATTTTTTAAATGAACAATCATTTATTAATTAATAATTTTAAAGAAATTTAACTTAAATTTAAAATTTAAAATAAAATATTTAGTAATAAGTAATTAACTGTATATTTAGTTTTTTTTATCTTATTTCTTATTTATAAATTACTTGATGTTTTTGGTATCTACCAATTTGTTTTATATGATAGAACAAGCCTATCTAGTATAACTTGCATCAGAAATTAAGTTTTTAATCCAAGCGTAAAAAAAAAAAAAAATTATACAATCAAATGCTCTAGATAAATTATTTATTTATTTATGTTTTACAGAGAGGCTGTTTCTAAACAAATTGATTTGGTTCAAGCTGACTTGGAAAATTTATTAAAAGGATTAAATGATAAGTACACATTTGACGCAAATATGTTTCTTAATGTAAGTAAAAATTTTTGTTTGTAACAACAATAATAGTTTTTAAAATTAATAAAAAATTTTATTTAGTTTATTAATGATGATCCTACAAATTTAAATTTGCCTATAACATCAGAAGAACAAACAGTTAATGATGGTATGTATTAATTCTAACTTTTTATTTAAGATTTATAATATCTTTATATTTAGGGTATAAATTTGTTGTTTAGCTTGGGAAATGTTAAGTTCTTTTAGCTTTTCTATTGTTTCACATTTAACATTAGATTATAAATAACACATGTAATAAGAAATGATAATATTATTATGTATATATAAATTAAGTGTAATTCTAAATATTTTAATTGTTTTAACATTTAACAGTTAATTATTTATTATATTTTAGCCAAAAATGGGTTGAATGTTACTCCAGATAATCAAATTGTGTCATGTCTATCACCAAATACATATGATCTAAACGATTTAATGACAGCTTCAGCAGATTGGACAATACCAAACACTCCCATGTCATTTGATTCAGCATATGAAAATGATATATTAAATACTCCAGTTATAACTGATTCTTTATTAAATACTGATCCTCTTTGTCCAAGTATATCCTCACCAGAAAAATAATTTAGACATAGCTAAGTATAGATAAAATTTATAATATGTATAAGTATATTTATAAATTTTTTTTTGTTTGTTAATATTTTGATGTCATTAAGATCAAATTTTATCGTAAAAAAGGAAACTTGTTTTTTCTAATGTAAAGTTTAGTTTTTATCAAATTAATTATACTTCATTTCTTTTCTCAGTTCACATTTACATAATACAATTCAGTTTAGTGTTATTGATTTGTATTGTGTATCTTAAAAATTTATACTTATTATTTTCACAAATTTAACTAATTTTAATGATTAACAAAAATATAATAACTTTTTTTTTAAAAATTATTTATTATTTTCACGATGTTTCAGATTTCAGAATTATGAATATGTTTATTAAAATATAATAATGTAAAATATATAAGTTTATAATTAATAGGTAATGTATAACTTGTTATATATTGTCATACATAAATTTAATTCCTAGTTTGTTTAATTTATCAATAAATGTTTCTATTTATAACTATCTTTGTCTAAATAACAATGTGATTTATTTAAATTCATTAACACAACAATAATATATTATTAATTTAATATTTAATTAATAAATAAAATTATTAATACAATTAAAATTTTAAAATTTTATTATTACAATTAACAAGTAGGATGTGTTTAAATTAATTGGATGGATTTATTTAAAATTCTAAATATTTTTGACTTAATGAAAAATATTTAGTATTTTAATTAACAATAAATGCATCTCGTACAAGAAAAAATATTTTTAATATATTAATACATATTATTTTGTTTTGTTGTAAATATATGTTTAAAAATAGTTGTTATAGTAAAGTTAAGTTTATATATTAAATATAAATTATACACTGATAAGACAAACTTTATCATACAACTTAATTGTTAAGTATTTAACTTGACCAATAATAAACTTATATAATATAAAGAATAAATAATATTTGGAATATATTGAAAATGTTGAGTAGTTTGCTTCATGTGTTTATTGTTTCTTTTTACTTGACATTTGAAATTTTGCTATAATTCTTAATTTATACTTTGATATTTTTAGTAATATTGTATTACGTTGTCTTTTTAATATGTTTAAAAAGTATGTGGTATGTGTACTATAAAGAACAAAGAACAAAATAGTAATGTAGATTTTTTAGTATTAAAAAATCTGTATAATCTTTTTTCATTGATAGGCCTCTGTATAAGTGGTTAAGCCATTCCAGAGGATATTTTATCATACTCTAAAATATAATAGTGAATGGGTATATTTTCATTATTTTAGAAGAAAAGTAAATAAATTTAAAAAACATTTTTTATAAATAATTAATGTGCAAGTATATAGTATAATATTCAATTTAAATTATCCGTGTATAATCAAAATTGATTTTGTAGAAATTAATTTCTGTTGTAATAAATAAACATAACAATGATAAATATTATTTTTAATTATTTGATAATTATTATCAAACGGTGAATTCATAAAAATTTAAAAATTAATTTGGTATTTTTACTAATTTTTAGATTTTGAGCATGTTAGAGTTTTGTAAATTATATCATTAAAGTATCAAATAATAGTATCTTTATTCCTCTAAAAGTTCTAAATAAGAAAAAGAATTAATTCAATAACAAATTCACGAAAAATATTACTGATTTTTTACATTTTAATTGTATTTAAAACTGTTCAATGTGGGAAGGTTATTATAAGTTATAGATGACTTATTACATGTTTAGGAGCACTTATATGGATCCAAATAGTGTTTACTGAAAAATGTATAGTAAATACTCATTGATCATCATTTACCATGTAAAATTTTTAAATTAGGCATAACAATTTAATGCAGAGGCCTAGCAATAAATATAGACTGTAGGTAATTTAATTTTGTGTACCTATATATGTGGTATTTAACTATATTACAGTAAGACTTGATAACTTCCTTCTCTTAAAATTTTTGAAAAACAATTCAAGAAAGTTAGGTAAGTACCTAGTTAGAAACCTACCTACCTATTTATGAATAGACATAAGTTTATGAGAATTATGTAAAATAATTTGTATTAGTTTGAATCCTAAAGTATCAAAATACTGGCAAAAAAGACCCTGCAAGAAATTTGTAAAACATAATTTTAAATAAAATAAATATAAATATTGTAACTATTATAATTAAAATATGATTTGTTGTAAGCGTAACAACAATCTTTAACAATAAAATATAAATATAAAAATTAATGGAACAAAATTGTATTAGCTAATTAATAATCTGATTAGTGAATAATAGGTATGTGGAAAATGCAAGTAAATAAATTATTTTTTTGTTCGGTTATGGACATTGAATATAGAATAAATATTGTAGGAATAGTAATAAAATATGTGTACCCATCAGGTAATTTTTATGGTAAAATTTAGCAGGGGTTTCAATCGAAATTCTTTTTTTAAATTCATATTTTCTTTAGTACAGGTACTCTATGAATATTTATTATTTAAATACGGTTACCTGCTTCTTGATCATTAAACATTTCTGCATTTTACCCGAACGTAAAAATTTAAATGAATCCTAATACTATATACTTATAATTACATTTTGAAATTGTGCTAGTAAATTATTTTAAATAACCTATATTACTATAATAATTAGGTATTCTACATTAATCGATTTTTTTAAAAAAAAAAAATGTTAGAAGGTCCATGTATATGTAATTATGTTTTTTTAGACGTTTTAGTGTATAAGTAGGTACATGAATTGTATTATGTAATACATAATAATTAATAGTTTGGTGGGCAGACCTATACGCTATACGCCTTTGACATAATACTCGAGGTAGATACGTCAAATTAATTCGAAAACCTTGCTTTCCGTCTATTTCTAGTCGACTTGGAAGCCAGACGCGATTGGCAACGATGAGAGTATTAAAATATAGTATAATATTATGTATATTTACTTACGCAATATTATATAACAATAAATCAACACAGTAGGTGTAATTGGGATGCTACGTGAACGTTGAATTATGTTAAAATAGTAAATTGAATAATATTAATATAAATATATATGTATAAATATAATGACCATATACCTTTGGGAATAATAAAATTTTTATCTTTCAATGTTTGTACTCAAAAAGTTAATTAGTTAATTAATTTGGGATTCATTTATATTACCTATTATTAAGTAGATTCAAAATATTTATCCTAAATAATACCCTCGATTGAGGTTTTGTGGTGTATATAATGCCTATCGATAGTTTATTTCATCCCTGTAACTATACGAGTAGACGATAATATACGTTTTGGCACATTGATTCAATTAATTATTATATTTGAATGGAACTCTGAGAATCCGTCATGCCTGTCATCGGCCAAACGACAATTACGTCATTTTTGTCTGCAGTTTCCTCGGATTGTTCGGGCGACGACGGTATGGGCGATGTCTGCGTACGTCGTGACCTTACGCTTTTGCTAAAGAAAAAAAAAAAACACCATTAACACAAATAACACGACGTAATTACGTAAGTTTAATTTAATAACAATGTTTCCGACGTAATATATCGTATATTTGAATGTAACAATGTAATATTATAGGGTTTCGTACCATTATTGCCGTATATGTTCATGGCTATATGTAGATACTATACGTCTATACGTCAATACCTACCTACACTAATTAGTTCCGAGTTTCTGACTTATAAATAGTAGTGGAATAATAATTACTGTGTAGTTATTTTGTAGTTATTACCGCAAACCGCAACGAGCACTACGTAAATGTTGGTTGTAACGCATGTAGGTACCTACATATATATTATATATATACCATTTAGCAGGTATAGCGTTTTAATCAAATTAGACCCCGTTATACCAGCAGCGTTCCGCCGATATGCTATTATTAGACATAATTTATTCCTGTATTAGTTAAGAATAATTAATAATTATACAAATTAGAGGTAGACACTGGATGAGGTGTATAAGTTTAGAAGTTTTAATAATAAAAAGGCGGGCACGGTGCGACTATAATTATCAATTTTTTCGATATTTTTTTTTGGTTGGTATAAGTGGACAATATTTTTGAGAAATCTTAATGTTATCTCTCTAACCAATGGAAAATCGCACTTACGGCACAGTTAGTAATGTGTTGGTACTGTGGTAGTGTGGTGTAAATGTGTAATGAACGTTATACCATGTTTAACTTGAACCATTTAGGTCATAATGTAAAATAAAATAGTTGAGCTCTCCAATAATAAGTTTTCCATTTTGCAGAATGTAGAACATTATGTAACAGTCGCTGTTCAATTAGTAAGTAGCTATTCATAATTCATCGTGTGTCCAGTCGCGCGAATCGTTTTTTTATTTTTTTGATGCACAAACTCAGAAATTTACCAATCGGCAGCTGTCTCCAACCCATCGGCATTAATCACTATATGAGTTAATCGTACAAATTTACATAGGTATTTATATTTACAATATAATTATATAACTACTACTAGTTGCTAATAGGATCCAACATATAAACATATATCTATCAAAAACCCCAAATTATTTTTACTTTTTTTTAACGGGTGGAGTTAATGCCGCCCTGCTCTTGAGGATTTCTGCCACTAGTAATGTAGGGTAGGTTATTTTACATTCACTGCACCTTCTCTCTACTAAGTTCAAATATTATACACTATATACTTATGTATGTTTGCAAACCAAGATAATTTTATATGTTTATCGAAAACGATACTCACTGATTGTTTTCGGACTGATGGGCGTACAAGTCGTCTTGGTCCTGAGCAATGTACGAACATCGACAGCACATTCGTTTGCTGTGTACTTTGAACACGTGGGTGGCCAATCGTTCGGCTCTAGCCGCTTTGTACTCGCAGAACACGCACTCATACGGCTTCATGTGGGTGTTGAGGTGTCGTTTCAGACACCAGTTGTCGACACCCGACCACGGGCAAAACGTGCAACAATATCGTTTCTCAAAGTTTTTCCGACTGCCTTTGCCCTTCGGTTTTGCCGTGGTCGCTGCCGTGCTCGTCGGCACCACTGGGTCCATCGCCAAAATGGTGTCTGGCGCAAACATTACCTATCGAACATTCGCGTGGTTATCACTGTTATTTGTTGTCATAAAGCCTATATAATAGATTAAACACGAGTGCATGACGTTTAACGGCTTAGTAGTATAGAATTTGTCCAACTATAACATTTCTTAGGCAATTAAACGGGTAACAAGTATAATAATAAATAGCTAAAATAGGTATAGTCATAAACTCATAAACATAATTATACGACTTAAAATGATGACGTAAAATATATTTTACCCGTATTACGAGTATTATAGTTACGAACAGGAATATGTACCATTATATCAATTAATTTTTTGTTTTTGTCGTAAGAGTTTGATAATTAATTTGGTTCAGAATTAATTATTATTTAATACCTTCGTAACAAATTAAAATTTTGATATCCAACTTATCGACTGATGGATTCATCACTCAGGTGTCCCTATTAGAGAGGTATGAATTTATATTAAAAATAATATTCTGAATCCATTGATCACCGGTTAGCACGCGTGTTTAGTACCTACGTGTTATAGTACGAGTAATTTTACAAGTTCGCATTATACAACCCGTTCATCGCTATGCATAGGCCTGCGTAGATCTGAATTTCGGGGGTGCCTATAATTTTTTCGGGCCCTTTTCTTAATTTAGGTCTTCTTTCAACAAGACATGTACATATTTTAATAAATTATAATGCATGAATAAACATCATTTACATTTTTTTATTAAATATTCTAATATAAAAATGATAAATTTATAATAACATGCGCCTATTACTTAAATAATTAAACTCATTAATAACCAAATAATATTTGTATTACTTATTAATAAGTATTACTGGTACCAAGTTAAAATATTTCATTAAATAGTTAGATCTAAAATCTATTTTTAAGATAATTGCAAAATATATTTATTATTTTTACTTTTGTAGTCAATAACATCTCATAGATGTTATAATCACAATAAGTTTTACCGCACAAATTTAAAATATTTTATGTTGTATTGGGCCCCATTTGCATGTCGGGGGGTGCCCAGGTACACCCGGAATCCCCCGTGCGCACGCCTATGTCGCTATGTACTCTGTCTGGCGAGAGAACACGCTACGACCCGACGGAAATAGGTTTTTCTGCGCATCCTCACGCGACATCCTGTTATAGTCTCGATGGCGCGGTGTCGGCGTGTTCTCTCGGCAAACAGAGCACGTAATAATTTGGAATTTTTGGGGTCACGATTTTTGCACACTTCCAATAGAAAATCTAAATCTAAATTCAAGTTCATCACTCACTGGTTTTATCTGGTTAGTCGGTATCGGTATTTGTATAGTGTGCGTGCCGGTCTGTTCGTTAAAATTGACCACGGCGATGTTGACTACCGTCTGCTGCTGCTGTTGCTGTTGTTGTTGTTGCTGTTGCTGTTGTTGTTGCTGCAGTTGTTGTTGTTGCTGCTGTTGTTGTTGCTGCTGCTGCTGCTGCTGTTGTTGTTGTTGTAGTTGTTGTTGGTCGTCCAGCTGCACTAGCGCTGGTAGGACGGGTAAGGCTGGTAGGGCTGGATTGTTAGAGGCAATGATCGGCGCAGCGACCAGCGGCTGTTCGTCGATCCGCTGCGACACGATCATCTGCGTCTCCGGTTCCAGTGGCGGCGGGTCGCCAGAGTACAACGTCACTCTCTGCTGATGCTGATGGTGTATCGCGGCCGCTGACTTGCCGAACGGGTCGCGCTTCACCCGGCTCAAGCAGTACTCGTGTTCTCTGTGCATGCGCGTGTAATGTTTCTTGACGTGGTCCGCCCGGTTGAACTGCTTCTGACATATGTCGCACTGGAACGGTTTGTCCTCCTTGTGTATGTTCTCGTGTCTGCTGAACAGGTCCCGCCGGTCCGTGGCGTACGGACAGTGCGCGCAGTTGAACCGCTTCTGAGCGGTCTGCGTTTCCGTGTCGGCCGCGTTCAGTCGCATCTCGTCGTCGGCGACTTCCGGTTCGGCGGACGCGGCCACGGCGGCGGCGGTAGCGGCGGCTGCCGCCGCTGTGGCGGCTGCGGCCGTGGCCATCGCCTTGTCGGCCGCCGCCTTCAACCGGCCCAGGTAGCTGGTGACCTCTTCGAGTACCGGGCTCTCCTTCCACGACTTCCGGCCGGCTTGTTGGTGCGTCCCGTGTTCGGCCACCACGTTGTGCTGCCGGGCCAGGTGCAGGCGGATGCATTTGGTGTAGGCGCTCGCGTACGGACATTGCGGGCACTGGAATACCTTGACATCGGCGTGCGTGCCCAGCCAGTGTTCGGCCACGCTGGACAGCAGGCCCATCGAATCGCACTCCTGACACTTGAACAGTTTCTTGTCCACGTTGTAGCTGCCGATTTTTGACGTGGTCCACGCGATCGTCTCGTTGCTAGTCACCCACGGGTCGTCCTCGGGCTGTGGCGGTTGTTCGCCGAACGACTCGGCCGCGTCGTCGTTGTCGATCATGCTCAGGCCTTCTTCTACCATTTTGTACGCGTCTTGGCCGGAAAACTGCCTGTCCTCGGACGACGACGTGTCTTGTCCGTAAATTTTTTTCGTAATCTCTTTGAACATGTCCTCGTAAATGTCCATTTGCACGTCTGCCATATTGCGGGTCGCCTATCATCTAATTCCACCACTTGGATCGTTGTACGGTGCACGCGTCACTCTAAATTTAAATAATTGAGAGATTAATACACACACACACATATATATTTGTATTATGCATAGCTGTTAATGTTGTATCCAAATAAATAATTTTAGTACCTATTGTGCGTATACTTTGTTGATGCGTTTTGACCGCCAACGTTTCAGAATTTATCACTCTTACCATTTGAGAAGAAAATTATAAATCAATTTAAATAATTAAAAAATAAAAATAGATTATTATTTAGTATGATTATAATGTTCGCCTATAGACCGTCGATATTTATAAATATATGGTACCTACTTGTATATTTTAGGTTTCACGATTAGATTAATTACTACATTTATTGGAATAAAACACCTGTTACATCCTGTACAAGATGATCTAAATAAATAAATCTAATTTTTCATCCCGTTTGCTTCTTTGCGCCGTAGAGTTATTGAAATTTAAGAGTATATTTTATTTAGATATAACATGTGATTCGAATTACAATGAGGTTGCTTAATATAGAATCAATATATAATTGCGATTAAGCATAAAATGTGAAATGTTTATTTTAATGCTAATTTACTATTCTTCTATATAATCTTTTAGAATATATTTGAAATATAAATAAGTTGTATGCTTATTAGTTATAATGTCATAAATACAGTATTCTTTATGTAGGAAATTAATATGAAATAAATACTACACTTTAAAGTTACATTATTACATAGGTAATTAATATGTATAACCTAAAATAATTGAAAACATTTATTATTATTGTTTTTAATGTTATTTTTCAAATGATTTTTCAGTAAATGCTATTCTTAAAAGAGGTATCTTTTATCTATATTAACTTCATTGCTATAATATGTTATCAGGAATCAGAATTTTAGCTATTTTTTAAGTAAACAAGATTTTATATTTTTATATTTATTTATTATGTGTACATCACTCGTAGATAAGAACCTACGTCATATATTTTATATGAAAAATTAACACAGTCAATATTGTCTATAGGAAGTTTATTTAGTGATGGAACTATGAAACAAAGTAAAATGATAACGATTTTTAATTGTCATAATTTTATTGTTTTTAATGATAAAGTATTTGAACATTATTAAATGTTATTATGTGTAGAATAATTTATTCGTTGCATTAATGGCTATATATTATATTTTATTTCGTTAAAAAATCAATATTAAAATACATACTAAAAATGTTTCAATTCATTGGATTTAAATTGAATATAACGACGGTTACATGTGAGATAATGAGCGGTGAATACCGCCAAATACAACAATCGATTAATATATATATACGCAGTAGGTATTACGAAATATTAAACAAAGCATTTAAGTAAGCATATGCTGTTCACTCTTATTTTCTTCAGTAATTTATTTATTTATATTCTGATTTTTGTAATTTTTAAATTTATTGATGTACCATGTTTTCGATTATTTAGATTTTTGAAGGAGTAATTTTTGGTGATGTGAACTTTTTTATCTAACAAGAACCAATTAGCTGTTTAGTACCGAGTGATTTTTTTATTGAAAATATTGTGTATCAATGGAGTAGTTTCTGAATTATTAAAATGTATAATATATTAAGGATTATAGTCATTAAAAATATCAATAAACTTAACAAATTAAAAACGGGATAAAGTAATAATATGAATGCCAACAATCGTCATGGATCCTAAAATTATTTGTCCAAATTTTGATTTAGCTAGATAAAATTTTTTTGATAAGTCATTTGATTAACATTTTAGAGAAGAAATGGATGATTTTCATATTTAAAAAAAAAAAGAGAGAAATTGGTATCATCATAGAAAATTTCTTGAATGATATATACAATTGAAGTATTTAAAAATCTTGTCCACGAGTATACATAATATTAAAAAAAAGTTCAATAAGTGTATTACTGAAGAAAAATAGGGCTGAACATACTTGTTTAAAGTTTATACACCATATAGGGCATAAATGTATAGTACTGTACTGTTCAATTGGAAGTTTATAATTCATTTAGAAAGTTTAATATAACTACACATGGGAAAAGTGATGCGAATATTATTAACATTAATTTTAATACGTATAAAAACACGATTTTTGCTTAATAGACCATATAATAATTATTAATATCCCACAATAGCTTATAAATACTACAAATTTATATTTTCACAGGAAGTTTTGTTTTTCCAATGCAAATGTTTCACGAATATTGACGGGCTAGTGTAAAAATGCTGCAGTTTTGCCAATACTTACGTCGCAATAGCTCGCAGGTAAATTTAATATTAATTTTTAAAACCTTCTTTAAAACAAAATGTAATATATTACTTACGTAATATTGTTGTTATTATTATTATAATATTATCACAATCAATACCAGCTATTATTTGTTTGGTTACCTATACATCAACGTAGCACAATTGCCTACCCGAGCGCCGCGTAACGAGTTTGTCGACGTACCTATACCTAAATCGACGACGACGCTGAATAAACTATAATAATAATAATAATAATAATAATAATAATATTATTATTATTATTATCAATGTAGAGAAACATATTGTCGGAACAGATAGCGGTGAATAATATTATTAAAGTCGTCCATAACACCACCATATTATTATTAACATTAAACAAGTTGTTTTCACGTTTTCGCTGGCGTAGCTACACCGCGGATGTTACAGAGGCAGTTGTCTCAGGGGGTACAATTTTTTCGGGGGCCTACACGTTTAATAACGGTACTGACGATTGTCGAGTATTCGGTAAACAGATTATGGCTAAAAATTAATCAATATAAACGTAAAAAGTGTATTACAATATCTATTATAGGTGGGGGGGGGGGGGGGACGAAAATATTTTGCCTAGGAAGATTTGTAATGCGTAGCTACGCCAACGCACGTTTTAACGTTGTAATACAGACATATTTAAAGAATGTAATGATATCATGCACTACTTTGACGGTCACATCGCATACAATATAAAATCTTGATAATCAATAATCTTCCCGGAACGAACGCGTACCGCGCGCGGTACACACTTGTTGTGTGATAACACGGCAATGGTACGCTCTACAGTATTATTATGACAACGAGATTGTAATATAGTTTTAATATTTACGTATGGTAATAAAGGCGTGTTACCGTTTAGCTGCAGGATTTATGCGGTGTCGGAGACGATGATTTACGCGTTTACTACATATCGCAAATACTATTATTCCTGAAAGGATTCGCCGATAACTGTCGGTAATATCATGTGATACAGCTGCGGCCGTCATCATATGGGTCTGTGTGGTATGTAGCTGGGTACGGTAATTATTGGTTTACACCCGTATTTATTAATAGCCATAAAATACATTATAATAATAACTATACCATAATATCATATACCGTATAACATTGTCGTCGTTGTCGTTTTGTTGTTGTTGTTGTTGTTGTTGTTGTTTTTGTTGTTGTGTACTATTATTGTTATACGTATCGTTGTTACGTATCGATGCCGCTGAGAAGTCGTGGCGTGTGTCCGCGGCGTTTGGATCAATTGCCGACCGCGGCCGAATGGCGGTGACGTGGATAACGACGACGGTACGACAAATGACCGCGCGCCCAGGGAAATGATAATAAACGACTACCACCACAAACGTACATGACGATTGACTTAAATAAATGCATTGCGACGTGTACAGAGAGTATTGTGGTCGTCCGACAGCTCCCTCTGCCGGTAGATGGATAGTCTACCCGGCAATAACCAACAATAACGGACATCCGTTGTCCGACGGTAAACGGATTGTTTTTGCGATGGTAGGCTGAAAAAAAACGATCAATGGATCTAGAGGTGGGAATTTTTAGATGGTTTTTTCTTTTTTAGTAAATTTTTTAGGTCTCAGATTCAGCAACATCAGTCAGGTGAGGTGGTAGATGAGGCGCAGGCGGCGTGCGCGTACACTGCACAGCCTAGGGGTTAGGTGTAGAGCGTTGCGGGCAAGGGCGTAGCTACGAAAATCGTTCGATCGGCTACAGCTTTTGGTTGCTAACGGCGACCGGTACGTTGGATTTCGCAGCCAGATAGCGCAAATTTCGCAAATAGCACATTTCCGTACAGCCAACTGCGAGAGTTTTTTTTATAGACGTCTTCGTCCGTGTTTATTCGTAATATATGTAGAAGGGGTAAAGGGTTAGAATTTTTAACGGTATTTTCTACAATTCGAAGCGAGAATAGTCGTAAACAATCGGATTTACGAGATCGCAACATGCCAAAATCGATGATATTTATTATACTTTACTCGTCGTACTTTGAAAGCCGTTTATAATAATAACGACGTAGTTAGTACCCATACGTCTCGTATTGTCAATAGTAGACGGCTAACCTAAATAGAAATATACGGCTCTAGTAAATATTGACTTTACATAGGTTTGATACGGTTCGCTATTGCTTATGTTGTGTGGTTGCCCGAGGTGGAGGAGACTTGTGTAAACGTTTTAACGTGTTTAAATGCACGGATACGTTTGTATACAATAAATCGTGAAACGTCGGCAACACAGTTGGTGTCGGGAAAAACGAAATTATCGGCATAACGTTTGACTCGCAATGCTGTGCGATATTATGTTGATATAGGTACACGTCGCATGTTATACAGTATAATATAATTTACTGAAATGGCAACAATTGTTAAAATTCTTCTCGTTCAATGGGAAAAGTGACGTTTTTTTTTTTTTTTAATGCGTCCACGAGAGTATAACGATATATATACTCGAAACGTATTGCTGACGTGAGATTTATTATATATTTATGTATCGTACTCATTACGTATTGGGCGCGTATATCGCGGCACACGGTTTTACAAGAATTACACGTCACGATAATAATAATAATATGCGCAGGTTTTATCGTACACGTGACGCGAAAACGAAAGAAATAATAATATTTCCGCGCGTGAATCGTCGACGACAGGCCACATTATGTAATGATAATATTATAATTACGGCGATATATAGGAAAATAATGATAATGATAATAATAACGATATTAAAACACACGATGAGGGCCCGCGCAGAAGAGTGACACACACGGGTGTGTGTATATATATATATATTATATTATAATGAGACCCACCGCCACAGTCGATACCACGCCGATTGACGACGACGATAATAATAATACAGTTGTGGGTCATAAAATATTGTACGGCAGCTCCGCCGCAAATGTAAATGTTTACAGGTGTTTGGAACGGTAATGGGTCTGTGCCGTTTTGGCCGCACTGATTGGTGAATTACGGATGACCCGGTTTCCACAAGTCCTCGTGTGCGCGTGTGCGCGATCGCGCGGGCCACGCAAGTGCACGAAATGTGTCGCCGCGGTTGCGCGTGCGCCCGGTCCGCCAGCGACCGAACGACCGAGCGAGCGCGTGCGTGCGCGCGGGCGTGTGGAGCGCGCGCGCGCCCGCGCTCGTGTGTGTGTGTCGTAATGCGGGTTGGCGCTAGCGTGTGCGCGTGTTCGTACACACGTGCGCGCGTGTGTGTGTGCGGCGTACGTGTGCGGGCGCGGGCGCGTTGCCGTTTTCGCGCAGGGTGCGGGAGAGTCCCACTAGTCGGGCTAATCCGCCGTCTGTCTGTGTGTGCGTGTGCACGCGGCGTCAGGTCAACTGGAGTAGTGCGTGCTCCCGTAAGCCCTCCGCGCGTCGTCGTCAGTTTTTTGAGTGTCTCGGTCCGTGCGGTGGGCTCTACCTCGCGCGCTGGCTGGCTGGCGAGGCTCGCGTCGTCCTCCTGCGTACAACGCGCTATACACACTAGCACACGCGATATTATTATTATTATTACTATTACTATTACTATTATCATTGTTATTATGCCGTCGCTGCAGCAGCGTACCGTTTCGTTACATTGTAGCGGTGTGCACGCGTGCGATAACTACTATTGAGTAAGTCGTCTCGTCGTCGCTGTCCATTTAACGCCGTCGCGGTATGTGATACAATAAATTATTATACTGTCGCATGCGTATGTATATCATAAACATGATAATAATATAAGACACGATATTATTATTATTGTTATTATTATTATTATTATTATTATAAATAAATATGCAATAATATAATAGTAAGTAGTGATATGTTTCGTTGTTCTCGTGCGGCGCGCCTATAGCCGTGTGGCGCTATACTTAACGATAATAATATTATAATATCAATAATAACAATAACAACAACAACAATAATAATAATAATAATAATCATAATAATCATAACAACACAGTGTCGCGAACCGTCGTGCGCGAAGGTATATGTATTATAATACTATCGCCGGCTGCGATTGTTCGCGTTATTGTCAGTAAGTTGTACTCGTATATATATTCAATTTATAATAGTATATTATGATGCGGTTGGCAGGCGGTCTGTGTGGTCTACCGTTGTCATCACCGTCGCCGTAGCGGACGAGACGCGACGCGGATAGCAGCAGGACCGCGACCGGTGCACGGGGTCGGTCCGAAAACAAAGGAAACCGGAACCGATTGTCATCCCCGGGGCAGAGATCGAACACACGGCCGTGGAAGCAGTCGATAGGTCCGTCCGGGCGCTGTAGCCGGCCGGTCGACGATGCCATTCGGCTGGTCGCCGGGCAGCGACGACACCAGCACCTGTACCGATAGCGCCTGCACCGGCACCAGTGGCACCGGCGGGAACGTCGGCGTGTACGGCGAATGGAGTACGGCCGGACAGCGCGACGGCATCGCGTACAGGCCGTGTGTACCACGTACGCGGCACGTCATGTACCTGAAATCAGTTGACAATCCTATCTGAATGATCCAGCGCAGCGGTGTCTCAAAAGATGCGCGTACCCCGTATGGTGCCACCCCCACCACCTAATTCCTAACCGACGCCAGCCGCCACCACCACCACCACCACCACACCACCTGGTCATTCACACAGCCCTTTCGACACCCCGCACCGGTCCTCCGCCCCACTTGTACGCCGACCACCCACACACGCCCTACAGTCGTCTACTGTTATACTCTTCTGCTGCTTACTCGTGCGCGCCACCCATCATCGTCCTCCCCGCCACTACTCGTCACCGTCGCACCCACTCATTCGTTATACTCTACCGTCATCGCTACCCTTCCCCCCCGCGCCAATTGCCAACACACACACACACACACACACACACATATATATGAGTATTCCATAAATGCTTCTCCTTTCGCCAAAAAAACAGTAGCACCGTGCAACGCGACGCGATTAATTATATACCCATCGCATGCATAGCTTTTTTACAAACAAATATTTTAATAAATATGATAATAATATAACGATTTAGAAATGCAATAATATTATCAGTCTTATATTTACTGCTCGTTGCATTATCGAAAGTTACTGTTGTATAGTACGGTTAAGTTTATTACATCGTAAGTTTAATAAAATTATACACAAAACGTGTTTGCTGGTATTGCAGCATAATATAGTGTTATTGTTTTTATTTTTAAGTCGAAAAAGTTACGACAATTTAAACCACTTGAACTGAGTAATGATTTTTGCAGTGTCCGAGAGTGTTGCTTAATTAACATAATACGCATCCGATTTATACTTCAATAATTTTAAACGGCATAATATTTAAAATGTTAAAAGTCCGAATATCAAATTAAAACTGAAAAATTATAATTGTGTTATTGTATCTAGTTCAATACACATGAACTTTTACACCTGTTATTTAAGCGTATTTATATTTTCATTTAAATGTAATTGTTGTAACGCATTCAATATTCATACTATTTCTCAGAAAAAGTATTTTTCATAAGTATTCCCTTATATTTTAGATATAAAATAATGATTTATTTTTTGTTCACAATTTTCTGGTTTGATAACAAATAAATTTAAATTATTATAGATGTTTAAATGCGGCACTTCATGTTTCTGAACATTCGTAGGCACAGAAAAAGATATCAGTTGGGTTAAATATTCGCATATTTTTTATTGATCAGGTTAGAGGGAAAAATAGTGCGTAAATATATTATACATAAATAACAACATTTTTAATATTATTATTTTACTGATTACTGACTAATGTGCCTTGATAATATTTTATTTTTTAGTTGTTTGCATGTGTTGGGGTTTTCCTGTTTTTAGGTATTTTTTTTAACTAAAAATTTAAATTTATTCAGAATCATTCATTCAAAAAATAATCATTTGAAAAAAATTGATATATTAAAATGTAATCGAGTAAATGGAAAATGTAATATTTTTAGATTTTATAAAATATCTTGATCGTTCTAGAGAAAATCGAGCTTAATTATTTATTTTATTATTTATTATTTATTTATTTATTTTTTTTCAAATATTTAAGTTTTTAAACTTTCTTATTATTTAACAAAAATACCTGAAGTAAACGAAGAGTGAGTTGAATTCTATTTCGTTTATATTTTTATTTCAATTTTATTGTAGTGTTATTTAATGTTGCACTTTTTAAGTGCAAACTTCTAAATTTGCTATCCCAAAATTTAAGAACTTATAGTATTAGTAGTTTCATATATTTTTTATTTTATAAAATATAGGTAATTAATAAATTTATTTAAAGTTTTTAGGATTAATAAGTACCATGCAGCTATTAATAGTTTTTAAATATTTGTATTTATTTAATCGTTATCTGAAAAATATTAAAATCTGTACTGTATTATTTGTTTAAAAGTATAAGAATACACTATCATTTGCGTGGTAAAACTTTTAATCAGTGTGGTGGATTACTTGATATAGTATTATTAGAAATTTAGAAAACGAACAAGATTTTAGGAATTTTTTATAATGTGATATATGAGTTTTAGTATAAAATTCGTGTTGTATACTTGTATCCATACTTAAAAAGCATATTATTTTATTACCTGCCACTTTTTACCATTATGTCAAACATTTATGAATTTTATTATTTTTTTTTAGTTATTGGAAGATTACTAATATGTTATATTATCTACCTATATAATGTTTTAGGTGTTTTGAATTAGAAAAACTCTCGGGTGTGAATATTTTCTCGTCTATATTCGATAATTGTTTTAGGTAATTATAATATTGTATTAAAAGAGATATCGTTATATTGTTTTATTTTAAATAATATTTTCGTTGTCTTTATTTAAAAAAATATTTTAAAATATTATAGACGCTATGTTATTTTCTTACTAAATATAAATATATATAATGACTTAGTTGAATAATCCACGCATTAAAAATTAAATATATGATGAAAATGATTTCAAATAATTAAAGTACAAGACATTTTAAATGGAATTTAATTATAGCCAGTTGTGGATTTAAGCCTTTAAAACATCGATAGACACTTCTCCACCCTATTCATTCCATTTCTCATGCTTACTTTTATAATGAATATATAAACTCATAAAATATATATGAATATAAAAATAGTTATATTATCATCAACTATAAAAAAAAAGGAATACCATTAATTGATATTAAATTATACTTCATATCCTCTTTTTAAATCTACTAATGAATTTTACTTAAATTATTCATTTCTTACCATAATTTTTTAATTAGTAAGATATATATAAATTGAATCGTCACAATTTAAAGTAGATAAAAAGTTTTCTTTATTATTCAATAATGCCAAATAATTGAGTTTTCTGGTACATACTGTCGACTTAAAGTAATTTTTAAAGAAAAATATAGTTATAGTTGAAAATTAGTGTATAAATATTTATGCTTAGAACCTAATTTATGCAAGGCTACTCATTAATTAGAAAATCATTAATTTAGATATACAAGATATATATTTATTACTCATATAAAGAAGAAAAATACGTTTATTATTATTATTTATTTATTTATTTTTTTAAAGATTATAAATACTAAAGAAGATTTAAAATGTATGCACTTAGAAGAAAATTCTTTTTTCGAAATTTGTCATGAGTATTATTTTTCCATCACTCAAACTTCTTCTGTCTCTAAAAAAATTAAAAAATTGGTTACTCATTCTTACTAATTGCAACCATGGACTAAAATATGGCATATCAACTTATATTGAAAATTCATTTTTGATATATTTTATTCAATCTGTTAAAATAGTATTGAAATTACAATAAAGTGTAGCCTATAAATTGCATAATAATTATTGGTTTCATTCTTGTAATTGAAATAATTGGCTATAAAACACAATGTAATATAATATAGATTATCAAAAACTTTGTATTAGTATAGTAAGCATGACTACGTTGATGTATTTATAAATTAAACAGTATTTAATTAAATGCTGTATATTTTTGGTGTACATTTTACAATAAAACTGATAATATATTAATTCTTTATTAAATTATAGGTTGTAGTTAATATATCGCAATAAAAAGTGGTAAAAAGCTTTGTTATTAAAAATATAAAACATTAATAATTTAATTATAAAATGGAAAAAGTTATTTAATAACTAATATTATCCATAACACATTATAGTGAACATTGTATTATTTTAATTATTTTTCTTCGGCACAAGTCACTATGTATATCAATTTGTGAAATTCCTTATCTGGAATAAACTGTGTGATCGTTAAAGACAGAATAAATTAATAAATTAATTGAATTGTATTCATGAAAAGTATTTTTTTGAAGAGCGTTTTAGTTATAAAATGTTTTAGTATAAATACGAGTTGGACAATTTCAACGATGAAAATTTAATACGTATATAATATATTACATTTGGAATAATGCCATATAGTACTGCAGGTGACTGATAGAAATGTTTATAAAGATGATAGATTAGATTAAATTCCACAAAAAGAGACCCCAACCGCTTAAAAATAAAAAAAAAAATTGTTGAGAAAAACGTGAAGATAAAGAGATAATTAAAAAAAAAAAAAAAAAAATAATATGACTGTGGCACTTGAAAAGTTTTTTCTCTTAATCATTTACTTTCATGAAAACTAAAGTAAATACTTTTTTTTTTTAAGAAATAAAATGACAATAATTTATTAAGTATAGTTTTTATTTTTTTTAATCAGTTTTATCAAACTTGAGGATCAAATAGATTGCATTTATAATTTGATCATTATTATTTATCAATTTGATTTTATAACGTTTCACTGAAATAAGTATATATATATATATTAAACAAACAAATAATAAATTATATTATAAAAGTTTTTTCTTCGTTTAAATATATATTTTATTGTAGTTATGGGTAACTATCTAATTCATTATTTTTTCTAATATGCAGATTTTGTGATTTAATAACAAAGACTGTTGTACATTTAGCATTAACTATACTAAATATAGTTGTCAACGAATTTTGTAATTTTGTATATTATTTTAAAATAAAATTTGTGCCCTTTATCACATATTAATTATTATTCATGAAACATATCTATTATTAGTTATTTTATAAATCGTGATAAATTGATAAAATTGTATTTCTTTTAAAACGAATTTAGTATATATTCGAACATAATATAATATAAATCATAATAATCATAATAACAAACTGTCCTAGCTAAAAATAATAGTAAATTGTGGATTAATAAACATTTACTACATTTTATTGAAAATAGATTAATCATAAAAAAAAAGCTGGTTTTATTTTCATCCATCGTGTTTAGTGTTAATTAATATTAAAAATATTGTATAACTCAATGTTATATCGGCATTTAAATGAGATACTCATGTATTATGTTTTTACTATCATAAATTCATTGATATTTTAAAAATATATGCAGGAAATTAATTGTGATTAATTATTTAAAATCAATATCAATTAAAAATGAAATAACTATTTTCATATTTTGCTATAAGTTATAATTTAAGTAAACATTTTAATGTTTTTTTATGCTGTATAGCAATAACTAA